GGCTGGGAAGTGCTTATTGCTCGTGAGCATCATAGACATAATAAATACATGTATTTATTATGTCAATGGTGAGCATCCCTATGCCCTACTCCCTTCGAAGGGCAGATGGCAGAGCCGGACTTTGGAGTGAGCAGGGCACTTGTGTGCCATTATGTAGCCGTTTGGAACGCACTTGATGAAGGGAGCAACGAAAGACAACTTAATTTCCTCATTATTTTCACCTGGGAGGCTGGGATGTTCCCATGACAATGCAGCAGGGTGTCCATCAGCTGAATAGCTGTTCAATACGACAGAAATATCGTATTAATGCTGTTAACATAAAGGTTGCAAATAAATATACTTTTTTTTTTTACAAAAAAGCTTTTAAAATATGCGTTATATATCTGTGTCTCAACTTTAAAACTTTTTAAACATAACATGACAAAATTTGTACAATGTAACTGATGTATAGATTAACATATTTCCCTCATGTTCCTTTTCTCTATCTTTTTAATTAATTAATTAATTTAAGTTATTTTCTCATTTGTATTCTGATGACATTGAACATATTGTTAGAACAATTTGTATATTGTATACAAAGTTGTATGTCATAAACATGTCATCTCTCTGTATGTGTTGCAAAAAAAAGTTAAAAGAAATAAATTTCCGTTTCTGTATTTGGTTGTGTTGTGAACTTTTGCAGTGTGTTTCTGTATTTGGTTATGTTGTGAACTTTTGCAGTGTGTTTCTGTATTTGGTTATGTTGTGAACTTTTTTTGTGTGAAACTTATTTGGTTGTGTTGGCTATTTGGAGCGCACGTGTGTTGTGAAACTGATGAATATGTTTTCTTAATTTGCGGGTGTTTTTTCTATTTGCATGTGTTTTCTTCAGTTGCAGCGCGTTGAGCTCTCTCGGCCACCGTAGTTTGCCCCTTAGACAAAAATAGTTTCTGGATTTGCTCATTTGCGAGGTTCATGACAACATGGTGTAATAATGGAGTTTAGCAACATCTGTAAATAGCCAGGCTTGTGTCTTAAAGTTGGCCCAAATTAAGCTACAGGAAATACTTCAGAAATTCACCTTTTATGTTCCACAGAAGAGTTTGGTGATGACAGAAATGATAACAGAACCTCATCTGTATCTGTAATCTGTCAGACAACCATTAACGCAGAAACAACTATACTTGTACAGTATATACCCATTTCTTGTGATAAGAAATTTGCTTCAACACGTTGAGATTTTAAACCTTCACGAAAGCAGTAGTGATAAATGCTAACTGATAGTAAACACTAACAAACAAAGATGATATCTTAAGTAAATCGGGTGGAGGAATGCATACAAGGAATTGAGGGATAATATTTGAGGAAATTCCTAAGATCCTCTTGTTTTTCTCATGTCAGATGCCTTTTTCTCTGTTAAATCAATGGCAAAATCTGCCCGTCGTGCATATTAAATTAGTAAATCTTTTTATGTGCCCTTACCTTTACTTGTACCAGGTTGAGTTATAACCGCTTGATCCGGGTCTGATGAGCTCAGTTTAGTTAGCAAGTTTAACTGTATATGTTGTCAGCGTTTTTAAATGGTTCTCTTAAAGTCATGATGTGTCTAAATAGTGCAGAAACCCATTGAGTGCAAATACACGGTTGTGTGATGACAAGAGTTTTTTGAAGAGTCGCGGTTGTGGCATGTTTGTTTAGTGGTTTTGTACAGACATTTTTGCAGGCTGTGAAATGGGGACAAAAATAGCAGTGTAGATCTTACGACATGAAACATTTCTTTGTATTATTAAAACAGATCCACCTGCCGGGAAGAACACAGTCCAAGAGGTTTAATTACATCCATCCTTAGAAGTGCAATGGCTGATGACCTTGAATTAAAAAAAAAAAAAAACTTGGTATCTAATCATCACAGTGACGATTGATTTCTTATGTTAATACCTGCTCCATGATGAAGTCTTTAAATTCTGTGAGACAGAAGTTAAGTCCAACACGTCCACTCCCACCCACTGCCATATTACAGCAATATCCACAATACCTCAGCAGCTGTCCTGTGTCTCCATCTAAAAATAGTTTAAAGTCACTCTATGGCTTATACGTGGCTGTGTTTGCATCACCCTCAGACTGAACTCTCCTGTGACAATGGGCTTAAACATTGGGCCCTTACAAAGGCACCGCTGTTGGCCCTGTGTTTAGCTGTGCATCACTGCTAAAAGAGAACAATTCTTCAGCCTTGCTTAATTTCCATACTCTAAAGACTAGTACATTTTGCGTTTTTGCTGTGAAATAAAAGTGGCCGTTTACCATGTAAGAGTGGATGATGCATGAATTTCACAGAAGGGACTGAATCTCAAAGTCATTTTCATCAGAAGGTCATTTGTGTTTGAATAGGCCTTTTGTTGTGTCAGGCCTTTATGTGCTCATGAGCAAGGCTTTTAACTTGCCTTTTTGTGCAATTATAATAGATACAAGGATTCAACTTTTCTTTTCTTTTCTTTTTTTTGCTATTGTATGCACTTAAAATGAGCAAGTTTACCCAGAATGCATTGCAGTGAGACGGTGTGTAATTAGCTGTGTTCCAAAATACAGTGAGTGAACTGCCTGCAAATCATTTCAGTAGCATTTGTCCTTAACACGTTGGGTAGCTAACAGTTTGATACTTTATGTAAGGAATATTTGACGACGAGCCCTGAATTATTTGAAGAAAAAAAAAATGCACACCTGAGGAGGTAATGCTTTCCATCTATAAAAAAAAACATAATTTTGTGGCAAAAAAACATGGAAATAATTTTTCCATGTTTTTATCTTATTGTTTACAATATTTATTTGCTTGGTCAGTGTAGCTGTGGGTTTTGGTTCTTTTGCTGTTGTCAGCTGTAAGGACATTTGAAATAAAATCATTTTCGAGAAGTGATATCTTATATGGAACTGTAATGCGGCCAAGACCTACCTGGAACTACTTTAGCCGTGCATTTCCCTGAAAATAATTGCACACCTTAGAATGTTCATCAACCAACCATTCATGTGCCTTGTAGTATAATAGAGTGCAATGGTCAGGTTATGGAAAATAAAAAATCCCATTCATTATTTCAACTTAATTTTTAAATAATCGCATTGAACAGCCGAATTCTAGGTGAAAAACTACATTACCGGTACTCATTAGAGTCAAAGAAAATGCAACAAAAAAAATTCACTAATCAAAGAGTTAAAACAGGCAAATCATGCCAGAAGAACTCTTTATCACCCGCCCACTCCTATGAAGCACTGTGAATGACGTAATGGAGTCAGGGCCTGTCCCAATATCCACCCTTGTGGTCTGTAGACTTGATCTTCAAACATACATGACGTATTTCCGGTATTTGGCCCAAGTGTTCAACCCGATAGGACACACAACGTAGTGTTGTAAAAATGCAAATACAATTTTGAGAGAGCTTTATTTACACATTTTTATTTTCAGTAGTTTTCCACTTTCAAATAAACTTCTAGATACATGTTCAGTAATTCCTAAGATGCATTTATTAATTGTGGTTCTTCTAATTAAGTGATAAAAAGCATTTGCAATGTTTCACAAAATGCAATAATAAAATGTGCAACACTTTACATTTTACTACCAAATGATGTCATATTCTAATTATTTAAACTTACACTGGCTAGTTTTCCTCAACATTATGCGATTTCAGGGCATGCGAGTTCCTGAACATTATGAATGATGGGTTATGTTTAGTTTAGTCATGTGTTTTGGTTTCCTGTATATCCCATCAGTTTAGCTTTCTCCATTAGTGTCCTTGGTTTCTCGTGAGTTAATGGTTGACCTGATTGACCTGTCATCTAATTAGTTGCCTTGTTATCTCTGTGTATAAGTACTTCCTGTTTTGTTCAGTTCTTTGTCTGTGATCAGTAGTATTATGTGTGGAAAGAGTTTATGTCTCCTGAGATTCTCCTATGTATTTCCTGTTGTTGGATTAAAGATGATTTAGACTGAATTCTGGGCTTGCCACCACACGTTACACTTAATTATTAGTATACATATTAAAGGTGGGGTATGTGCTTTTCTTTTTTGACCATTTTTTTAACAAATCACTTGAAATCCTTTTCCTAACCCACTTAAAACCACTGAGTTAGAAGCACTGAAATGAAAATTAAGCAATTTAATCATCTGTGGAACGGGCAGAACTCAAAAAACTCCAGCCAATCATTTCCAAGACCATCTAGAATCATTGGACAGTCAGTGCGTCAATCAAACGGTCGTACCATACCCCCATCCCCCTCGCGCGCGTGTCCCCTTCATGCGCACTCAAAGCTCAAAGTGACCCATTCACAGTAAGTGCAAGTCGCCCCGGTACAGAGAAAGGGAGAAAGTGCAATCTGCAGATGCATGATTGCGCGTCCATGTTCTTCGAATGGGTGGAGTCAGGGCCAGCGTTGGAGGACAGAAGGTAGGACCTATTGAGTTGGGTATTTTCAAAATCTGCCGGCTGTTTTGCAAATCCCATACCCTACCTATAATATTTTGCAATTTAAAGACATTTAGTGGATGCTGCACACTGGATGCTGGTTGAGGAGAGAACCCCTGATATGATTATAAAGCGCTTTGGGTGTACAGTAGTACATATGAAAGCGCTATATAAATGCCTCATTCATTCATTTATTCATTCATTTAGTACACAATAATGCCTTTGTTCTTTTTGCTTCGAATCAAAGTTTGCAATGTGATTCCCCTTTATGCTGATTGGTGTGGTTATAGCTTATAACTCTTTAATGAAGACTTCCTAAAAATTCCTATAGGAAAAATACTTGCGGAACCAAGGACACTGAAAAAAAGGGGCGAGCACTGTTGCACTCTATAAGCATGAAAGTACACATATTATATTGAATAAAATAATACATTACATTGATACGTGGCTAGATTCCTTAAAAATATGCCTTTGTAGGCAGCCTGTTTTGTAACAGAGAAGTTGTGTACCGGACCGGTAGTTTAAGTGGAGTTTTTGTCGCATATCTCATATATTGTTTTCTCTCCTCAGAACTGTGTGGTATTGATGAGCTACTTTGCCAGGACGAAAACTCTCTGCTAAGTTTTGAGGCCATGCGCAGCATTCATAAAGACATGGACGATGATGCAGACGGCAGTGTGGATGTGACAGAAACTGATGGGGTGAGGGCTGCAGCATTCATGTGTGGTTTTGTGGTCTGCTGTGTTGAGAGATTGATGTTACAGCTCAGTGCACAGTGCCCAATGTACAGACAAGTGCTTAGTTTGCTTGCTTAAAAGATCACAGTCGCTTTTGGCTTGTTCATTGGACACATAGATTTCTGAGCAGTGCACTGAAGTACAACATATGGCATGCAGTATACAGCTGTACTGGTACAAGTCTGAGTGTGTTGCAGAGCTTTTGCAGAGATGAGGAGCGCAAGTTACACATGTTGTTATTTTTTCATCTGTCATAGCATTCAACTGTAACATTTTTATGAAATACACTGAGGTGGAGATATATAGATGTGGAATATGTATTTTTTGCAAGATTATCCATTTTAATTGTATATTAATATTAAGCAGTACAACTGTTTTCTATATGAAATTTTTCTTGAGCAGCATATCATCATATTAGAATGATTTCTGAAGGATATTTCACAATATTAGCTACTATTAGCTAAAAAACTGTAGCCTTTGTGAGCTTAAGAGACCCCAAACATTTTAAAGGTAGTGGTGTGTGTGTGTGTGTGTGTGTGTGTGTGTGTGTGTGTGTGTGTGTGTGTGTGTGTGTGTGTGTGTGTGTGTGTGTGTGTGTGTGTGTGTGTGTGTGTGTGTGTGTGTGTGTGTGTGTGTGTGTGTGTGTGTGTGTGTGTGTGTGTGTGTGTGTGTGTGCTTTTTGACCTACATTATGGAGTCCTTATATTGTGGTGTGTATTCAAGTTTCAGGCCACATCCCCTATATTATGCCGATGTCCTCATAATTCAAATCATTAAATAAACATTACTTTATGTTTAGGGGTAGGTTTAGGGACTAGAAAATGTAATTAACTCAGTATAAAAACCATTGTGCCTTTAATGCATGTTCTTAATAAGTCGACAACATGTGTGGTCATGTAAACGCATTCAACCATTTACCTTTATTGCCGTTAGGTCAAACGGCTTGTGAATAATCGACACGGCTAGATTTTTGCCAATTAACAAGATTTCGCCGTATGTAAACAACCTGCATTCTGTCAGCTTATTGAACTTATTATTAACTTGTCTGCTTATTGAAGCTTATATCGCATACTCAAACTTTTTTTTATCCTAGAAATATAAAAAATGTGTTCTAATCTCGTTTAGCCAAAGGACAAGTTGTACAGTTGTAGAAACTTCAAATATGAGAGGAGAATGAGTCATGCAGAATGCAAGTTTCCCACTGACATTTTAAAATACTCTGGGGGCTTTAATGCTTTATTTAACATCACAACTCACATAATAAATAGAATACTCTAAAACATGGATGCTTATTTTTGACGTCACCACCGTTTGACGTTTTTATTTTTTTATATACAGTCTTGTTAACATGGTTTACTTGCACTGCCAGGTTATCGATTTGTATGTAAACCAGTGAATAAGGATATTTCAATAAACTGATTTTTGGTAGTTAGCGCATGTACTGTAAATGTGCTCAATGATAGGTGCACCAATGTGTGTGTATGTATATTTAGCAAACTGGCAATGATCTTTGAAAAGAGGATTCTAAAAAAGTCGATTGGACTGACCAAATTTAGGCGAGTCAATGTGTTATTGCTGTCACAATGTTTTAGATAAACACTATGTTTTTCATACAATATTATTTTTTACAATAGTCATGCAACCTGATTATCAAAGATACAAACAAAAAAGAAAATTCAAAATCCACTTCTGGATCTGCTTTGAATAGACATGACATTTCTGTATGTATTCTATTCAGAAGTGATTATTAACCATGATTATAGTTTACGTTTACAAACCTAGGCTATCACACAAAGCGATTCCTTTTTCATGTGAATGCCACATCTGAGCACTGAGTAAACAGCATTACTGCTGACCGACCGCAGCCATAGGCAGTCCAAGGCCATAGACAGTCCTGTGAGTGTAACCTTAACTACAGTCTGAGTTATTGTGAGGCGATTGAACCAGTGAAAATGACAGCATTTTCATACTTTAAGTTGTCTGATGCTCTACAGTAGGCTAAGACTACTAGTGGATCACAAAAACCCCAAGACTAGTTTTACGATTTGAATATGCCAAATAAACTGTTTACTGTGGCTTTACATCTAACCTCTTGCCAAATGTTGGATTATGCAAATAGACAGTACTGTAAAAAGAAACAGAAATAATCAAGTCCAGAACGGACTGTGACTGTAATTGGAAAACCACTGTTTAATATTAGATGACATTTTCAGGGTGCTGGATTTTCGTTTTATTTTCTCCTCTCCTTTAGCTTAAGTTAAACCTATAGTTAAGCATATTTATTTTTACAATCCTAACTATGCATGTTTATATGATTATACACCTGCTACATGTGAGCCTATCAGAAAATGATATCAGATGAGAACCACTCTGCACCTGATGCTAAAATCCAGTCTTTGTTTCCTTAAACAGTTTCTAAGGGAAGACTTAAAGTACAAAGATCCTAAGGGAAAACACAACAACTTCCATAGAGCAGATCTGCTGATCACAGTGGAGGACATGTGGAACACCTGGAAGGCCTCTGAAGGTTTTCACAGATTCTTTTAATTTGATATAAATTATACGATGGTAAGAAGCAGTCAACCATCTTAGAGCAAATTCAAAGTCATTCCTGTTAGCCACATCATAAACTATATTTAAACTACTACATATTTAAATACATGTAGACTTGTAAGTATTATGTTTGTGTAACTGAAAACACAAGCCTTTCAAAGTATACTTCTTTGGCCGTGAGCGCAGAAAGATGCCTTCAGCGCATGCGCACTATCTTGTGGACTCAAGTCACTGTTGTACACGCACCGTCCGCAAGGACACAGAAATTGGGCCTCCTAACGACAAAAATTACGTCACACAGACAGTCGTGGAATGCTACGGCCGAAGTATACTTTGGGCTTAAGCTTCAATCTGATCTTCCATGTTTGTGTTCTCAGTGTCCTCTGGCACCGTAATCCACTTGCATCACTTGTTTTTTTTTTGTTTTTTAGTGTATCACTGGACAGTAGAAGAAGCAGGGGATTGGCTCATCCGCTGTGTGCAGTTACCTCAGTATGTCGATTCCTTCAGGAAGAATGACATCAGTGGCAAAGCTTTGCCCAGGTAAGAAAGTTTACAGTTAGCATCTCTATTGGCTTCATCTGTATAATAAGTTTTTCAGCTGATGGACATAAATGAATTCACTGATCACGTACTGACTCACAGTGTCTGTTCCATTCACAGACTTGCAGTGAAAAATGCCACCCTGCTTCTGTCTGTGCTGAAGATACCAGACCGCAGTCATGCACAGAAATTGCAGCTGAAGGCTCTGGAGACAGTGCTTTTTGGAAATCCAAGTGAGTAGCACTTTGTACTAAGACTGGGCTTATTGAATATCCACAAAACATCTAAATGATCTCATGACTTTTGAGTTTGACATGTTTTAATAGTCTCTTTTGGCAAGAGTTGTTAAGATCAATTCATTTTCTGTGAATCAGTTAAAAATGTCCATATGAATTAATCAGTTCTGATTAATGGGCAAGAGTTGGTAAGTTTGATTAATTTCAATTAAACTGTTCATTTAAATTAATCATTTCTGAGTTCTGAGTTTGCAAAAGAGTTGTCGACTTCGTTACCAAGTTGGTACTGAAATTACAAAAAAAATGTAAACACCTCTGATTGCCCATTGTACTCACGCGCTCATCGGATATCATATAAATATACATCAATGACGCTCTTCACCGAAAGCACAAGCGCTCCCGTGTGTATCTGTGTAAGCGCTCGGTGAAGAGCGTCATTGATGTATATTTGCTCCCGTTTTTTAAAACACTTTCAAACACTTCCGTGTGCTTTCAAACACTCCCTTGTGTTGATCATTGTAGCCAATCACAGACATATCTGATGAGCGTGTGAACACAATGGCCAATCAGAGGTGTTTAAATACATCTGGCTCAACAGCGCTCAAAGCGTCACAATTTAAAAATTTCAGTACCGACTTGGTACCTAAGCCAGTACTTTTTGACAACTCTAGTTTGCAACATCACTCAATAAAGAAATATTCATAGTAGAATCATTACTGTCTCTGGACAATATTGTTCATTGCAGTTCCGGGCTATATTTTGTATTTTAGCGTGACTGAAGTGCTGTATTCAGTAGACCAATTCTACTAATTTGTTGGAACTGTTTTCTTCATTCTTCTCCCTGTTTTAGACGTTTTAGAAAACTACTAGCATTGAAATGTTCTGCAAGGAAAAACAAGGTTTTTTAGATAGCTGATTTCTGGATGAAGTCCAAATTGCAGTTTTCTTTGCTCATTATGTGCTGAAATCAAGGAATGGTTTATTCTGTTTTCTTTTCTTGTGAGCAAATATATTCTCCGTCTGAAAATAGCCAGACTTATTGTATAACAAAAGCCAGACAGAAGAGGTATGTTCCTTTAATGTCAGCCATTACAGCGTGATACTCAAGTACAGCTGGTGAAACAGAAAAGAGAGGGATGTTGTCAATAATAGGTGAGAGAGATTGAGAGATTGATGGGGATGTAATGGTCGAGGGCATTCCATCATATGATTCATAGTTCATGTGACTGTCTCTACCTAGAATATCAGCCAGAGTTCAAGGTATCAAAGATGCTGGCAAGAAAAGTACTTTACACAGCACAGATTAGACACAGCACCATCATAATCCCAAAGGCTGTCGAAGACTGCATGATTTGTTGCAGGAATTTCAGCTCACACAATGTCTTCATGCACTGATGCACTGTTGGTATATGGCTCATAGTGAAACATGATAAAGCACAAGGCTACAAGATCCATATTCCTTCTCGGTGCTCTAGCAAAAAAGAACATCAGTGATTTATTTTGTGTTGCCTGCAGTTTAAAATGCCTGTGCCTTTTTCCGTATCCCGCATTTAAACTATAGGTTAATACTTGCTGATTAAACAAGATGTTTTTAGGGTGTTGTAGGTGGTTACCAATATGTTTCTATGCAGTTCCTTTTCTGAGTAGTTTTTAGCTTGTTGCTATTAGGGCTACACGATATATCGTTTTAGCATTGATATCATAAATATTGTCAATTATAGGGCTCATAGTTGATCCGTACGGACCAGGCAAAGTTTAACCATCATAGAGCAAACTTTTATTTTTTGCATATGTTTTAGGTCCTGTCAGTTTAAACATTCAAGCGATTTTAAACCATTTAAGTTCAAGAATATGTGAAAGAGAACTCGAATTCGTAGAATTCGTAACTCTTTTCTGTGTACATACAGAGCTGCGCAGACATCATCTTTTTGTGCTGAACGGCACATACAACGCAAAATTATGTCAAAATGCCTGTCTTGGCGAGGATCCTAGTAAACACAGTTTCTTATGGCTTATGTTAATGTTAACAATTGAGAAAAAAAAACAGATGAGGATCATTATATTGGATCAGTGCATTCGGTCTTAAAGTGACAGCAGCCTAATATTCCTGCTGCTGTCTGTGTCATTAATGTTTATTAAACAACAACATACAAAGACAAAATCACATTTGCAGCTTTAACAAAGATTAATTATATTTATACAGTTAAGACTATGCAGTGTTATTTTACATTTAATTATTCATTTTCTGTACCTGTAAAAAAAGCACTGTTTATGTCATTTGTATCGTTGTTCTATTGTCTATTTATCTATGCTTGTAATTAGTTTATTATCTTTTATGCAGATTCACTCCCCTACAAAATCACCCCAATCATTCTAGAATGATTATTTCTTTCCAAATAGAGCTAATCAAGTCATCTGGTGGAAAAAAAAAATAAGATAAGATAAAAAAAAAAAAAAGATTTAAATAAATATTTATTAAAATAAGCAAGTGAACACAGAAATAAAAATGGATTTAAATAATAAAATAAACAAATAAATAAAATTTAGATTAAAAGAATTAAGTAAATAAATAAAATTAGATAAAAATAAATAAAGAAATTAAGAAATAAATATAAATGAGTAGAAAATTACCATTCAATTGTAATAACATTGTAACTTAATGGAAAAAATACATATTTTCCAAAATATATTTAGACATATTTATAATATAAAATATATATTTTATATATATATATATATATATATATATATATATATATATATATATATATATATATATTATTAAAATATAAAACCCTTCACAGTATAAAGTGGGTCTTTATTCAAGAAACTATATAGATGCCTTTTCAATTTTAAAATGGGGGTCCCTCACATAAGAATGATCATATTTGTAGTATACATGGCATCTAAGAGATTCAAAACCCTTGCTCTGAGAGATTGCTGGGTGATAGACTCTCTGTTTGAAATATTTGTTTAAAAATATTTTACAATTTTTTAGAGCCTTTATGTTATTGGTTAAAAATATTTGTCAAAAGTTTGTTGGAGCCTTGATGTGTATTCTAAAGTCATATTAATTGAAGGAACTTGACGTAATCACTGTGTATATATAGACCAGTGCGTCTGTGAATTGTCCGATCTGTCATCTGATTGGTTGATCCCCCCTGGGTCCAGGTTCCGTCTGGAGTTTCTTAATAATCTCAGCTATGGCAGTTATTTGGTTCTCCGTTCGCTGTTTATACTGTCTGCAGTAGAAGGTTCTTCACTGTTCTAGACAATCTTACTATAGAGTCTTATGGTGTTGCATTACTAATGGAAAATCTGTGTCTATGTACAGTTTTCAGCCACAGCACTTACGCATGAAGAAATGAGAACGCTGTGCCATCCAGTGTCCTAAGACTTAGTCAAAGATTATGTGTGCAAACAAAACACTCCTTTATAAACGCTCAAAGAGCTCTTTTATCCAAACACTAGTGCAATTATTGAAAAGGAAATCCAGATGGAAGTTTATGTGCCAGCCTCAGTAAACCCACATCAGATTTAACCTGATCCCAAATCAAGCTGGTTAAGATGGGGGCGCGTCAAGGTTGAGGGATTCAACACCATCCCCTCACAAATATTTTGGCACCTCTTGATGTGCCGTCACCTGCCATGTTCCTGAGCAGGATGTGAGCAGTGAAATCGTAGATGGAAATAGCGCTCACTAATCCAGTCATCCAGATCCTCCCGTTACGCAGCTGATGCCGCCACCTTTGTGGGAAACACCGCTCTGGACTCACTTACTGGGATCATTGCTGCACTCCAATGCAAAACAGATTAAGGCTTCATTCATCCGGATACATTTGAAAACAGCATTTCGCTTCAAAATTATCTCTGTCCACACTAGTGTTTTCAATTGTTTTATAAAAGTTGCTCGTCCACACTGAAATCATTTTACTGCACATGCATAAAATGTAATAAAAATCATCTTTGCTGGGATGTAATATGAAGACTGTACAAAGTCAATTTTTTTAATAACACTGTAAAATTGAATAGCAGGCACAACAATGCCAGTATAACCATAGTACATGTTCTATGAGTACAATATGTGTCACATGAATAAACATGTCAAACATGTAGAATACCTCAGTTTTCTCAGTCCACACTACAACGCAAAACCTGTATTTTTAATATATTCACTTGAAAGTGTGTTTTCAAAAAGCTCTGTTTTCACTGGACAAATACACTATCTGTCCACTACTAACAAAGGGCGAAAAAAGAGAAAGAAATGTGCTTTCAAATGTATACGGATAAATGTAGACGTTGCATAAGACAGATGTGACAGAGAACTGATGTGTATTCATACATCTGCATGGTTAGATCCAAACTGGGAGCTTTTTTATCACTTCTGGGACTTTTTCTAAGTAGATTACTACTTGTTTGTATTACTGTACTACTTCTTGCTAAAAGCGGTATGTGTGTTTTATGTCACAGTGTTGTGCAACCCTCACATATGTTGGGTTGTAGAGGAAGACGCTCAGACTGAGCAGACCCTGATTTGATGTATAACTCCTGCCAAAAAATCCTTGGCTCTTTTTCATTTACCTTCCTCATACTCTTGGGCTTGTGATTTTGTTAGTATATAGAAAGTCAAGTCAGTCCACATTGCACATCCTGGTAAAATCAATCTGTTTTTAAAATAATATTCCAGTTTCATTTGTTGTATTTAACCACAATATATATTCATCAACATGATGAAAGCATCTTCAACCCATCAGTCAAATACTTTAACTGTTTTATTTCAGTCTGAAAAACAACATTGGAGATGGTTGTTAAGAGAAGATTGCAGACATAAGCATTGGAAAGAAAACATTAATTTGCTTTTGCCATGTCGGGGTCAGCAGGGGTGACAGATGGAATGTGTGTTGAAAAAGAGTCATAATTCTCACATGACATCACTGTATTTGATTATGTGATACGCTGGTTTATATTACAGCACTATGTACATTCATTCAGGCCATCCTTAAAAATATTCTTGTTTGCCGTAACCCGACCGACCCTGTCAATTTAGGGCCGACCCAATTTTTTTTTTTTTTTTCCTTTTAGTCCGACCGACTTGCCGGTTGTAAACTTCCATTAAGACCGACCGATTTTTTTTTACTCTTCAAACAACTAATACAAATGCAATAAAATATCAATTACATTATAGTAAGCATTGTGAATATAAATTGCATAGGCTACGTTCTTTCTTTTAAATAATAACCCGTGGCGTCATCTATGATGATTATGATTACACCATTGGTTTACGCATGTCACACTAAACGATAACGTTCGCTTCGTTTCATTCACTGTCAATGGTTCGCGCTCGGTGATGATGGCTGCGGCGCGGCTGCTGGTGAAATACGTCTGTATGAGCCTACATTTAGGCGCTCATTATTCGAAATTCTTACTGGTCAAATAGGGTATCGATGTTAACGGCCTTTTCTCGGAGTGCGTCCAGCAGCTCGTCACGATATGGCCGCCGCGAACGCGCGTCACACAGCAACGGCAGGCTCTGACAAACACACATAAGTGTGGGAAGCCAAACACACCGAAAGTGGGATGAAACGGCGCGGTGTTACAGAGTTCGCGCAGCGCGGACATGTAATCTGTGCGGCTCAATGGACCGAGACGCGCGAGCGCGACAGACTCGACAGCGCAGAGAGGAAGTGTTTGCTTGCGCGACCTAATCTCACCAGCGCCGCGCTGACCAATAAAACAGCACATCCCATACAGACAGTGGCGGCCTTAAGCATCTGGGGGCCCGTTTCAATAACTAATATGGGGGCCTACATAAAACATAAACATAATAGAGCAGAAAAAGCAATATTCCTGTTGGTTTGCATCAATGGTACATTATTTTATTACGTGCACTTTCAGCTTCATGAACAGGCAGCTTAACATAGAAATAATCCAACCTTATTCGATTAAAACTATATACAATTAACTTATATATCATGGAATAAGCCTCGCCCTTTCACGCAGGGTAACTTCACTTTTGGTAGACTGAATAAAGCTTTTCTTTTGTTGTCCGATATCTTTCGTTTTTCAGTTTCATTTCCTCTTAAAATTCTTTTTCTGCTCAAAATAACATTTTAACCTAACGGCAAAAAAGGCAAAAGTATAAATACATAAACTACCGATATTATTCAGATCGCTTAAGCCGTTCGCGGGAGTGGTAACCGCGAGTTCTACCAATCAGACGTCAGTGTTTTGCAAATAACAAGGTTGATTTCGTAGCTTGTGGCTTTTAAAGGAGCAGAAACTTTCATTTCACAACCTCGTAGCTCGTGGTCAATCTACCTTGAATGGTTTAGACATTATGGCTGAAAATCAATATCCTACGGAGAAAATGAATGGGATTTTGCTGGTCTGTTGGGGCCCCCTTGGAGGGCGGGGCCCGTTTCAATTGAAACGGGTGAAACATAGGTAAGGCCGCCCCTGCATACAGAAATGTACTAAATTACCCTAAGAAAATCGACCATTCCATAATATGTCAGGACTACTTAATATAGTTTCTACAATGCGCCGCCGCCTAGCCATTTGACCTCACTGATTTCCGTTAATAATAGCAGATGTTTATGGGTCCAATTTAAACGAATAGAGCCAAATGCGCTGTTTTATTGGTCGGCGCGGTGCTGGTGAGATTAGTCATTTTAATTTATTTGTTTCTCTCTGAAAATCCACTCTTTTTCCCCAAATGAATGCAGCTGGAATTAATGCATTAAACATGTTTTTTGACAAATATTTCAAATTGTTTGTGGTCTATAACCTGTATCAGAATGAGATTCGCAATGGTGCGCCCAAAGGCATGGGTTGAAGACACTGTCAGTGGCGTCACGATATGCAAAGTTGTTTAAATTCATACCGACGTAATCACCATGACCAAAATTGTCCTTTTTTTTTTCATTGAATTTTGAAAAAAAAAAATATAGACCTACCTACCGACCCTTTTTTTTTTTTTTTTTGCTGTTACTGCAAACCAAAATATTTTTAAGGATGGCCTCACTACCGTTCATAAGTTTAATAAAATACTGACATTTTTTAAAATGTGACGCTTTGAGCGCTGTTGAGCGGAATCGTAAACACCTTCTGATTGCCCGTTGTACTCACGCGCTCATCAGATATGTCTCTGATTGGCTACAATGATCAGCGCTTCAAAAATATGTTGTAAATATACATCAATGATCTTCACAGAGCGCTTACACAGATACACACGGGAGCGTTTGAAAGCAGGCGTCTATCAGTGGACCGGTCTGCTGATAGACGCCTGCTTGTGCTTCAAATCCCACTCCCGTTTTTTTTAAAACTTTCAAACACTTACGTGTGTTGATCATTGTACACATTGATGAACACCATGGCCAATCAGAAGTGTTTACGATTCCGCTCAACAGCGCTCAAAGCGTCACAATTTAAAAATTTCATTACCGAATTGGTACCGAAGTCGGTACTTTTTGACAACCCTATTGGGGCAGTAAGATTTTTTTTTTTTTAAAGAAATTACAAATTAGTCATATATAATGTTACAAAAGATGTCTCTTTTAAATAAATGATGTTCTTTTGAACTTTTTATTCATCAAATCATAAACTTTTACATCTTTAAATTTTTACAAAACATATATAAGATAATAACTGATAATAATAAGAAATGTTTCTTGAGTATCTGTCACAACTAGTGGTTGTAGATAGGCAGATGAAGATGAATGTCAAAGTAAAGTCTTTAATAGATAATCCAAACTCACCCCAATCCTTCTCGATTAATTCTTTCCAAATAGAGCTAAGCAAGTCATCTGGTGAAAAAATAAAATAAATAATAGAAATAAATAAACAAAAATTACTAGATTAAACACAGATCAAGGCAGGAATTGGGGAACCAAACGTATGCATAGACGAACATATCCGTGACAAAACACCGCCTCCCGGAAGGCGCGTCCTCCCGCCAAAACAGAAGAGACGAGGATCTGAGGGAGAAGCCATAATGTAATCTTGGCAGGTGACATCCGGGGGACGACTGGTGGAGATGGAGCCATTGTTAGGGAATTGCTGGGCACAGATGGAGAGCCGATGGTACTGAGCGACACCGCTGGCACTAGAGACCAAGGCGGAGCCGCGGCGACGAGCGTCCGATGTGGAGCTTGAGTGCTCAAGGACTGAGGCGGAGCTGGTGTGACGGAGGACAGAGGCAGAGCCGGAGGGGAGGAGGAACCCGCTAAAGCCGTAGGGGTGGTGGGTCGGAGCGCAGTGGAAGGCTCGTAAGTCCATGGAGCAGGCAGAGTGACGACTGACCAAGGTTGAGCCGCTGGGATGAGGGAACCCGGTGGGGCCGTAAGGCCGAGGGTCTCTGGTGGAGCCAACAGGTTGACAGGGCGAGGTGGAGCGAGGAGATCAGAAGCCGGAGGCGGAGCCGAGGGATCCTCTTGCTTCAGTGAAGCTGGTGATTGCACAACCTGAGGTTTCACAACAACACAAGGCGTCACAGGCATCCAGCTGAGTGGCTTGAGGACTGGGTGAGCTCTGCGGTGAGGGTGAGAGAGGGAAGCTGGACAGGATCAATAATGATAAGTCAAAGTCCATACAGGTTGACGATGCAGTCTCAATGCTGGCTTGAACCAGCGGTGATGAAGAAGAAACAAATGATTCAGGGTGGGATAGGGTTGGAGGCAGTACCCCAGTGTCCCATTCTATCACCCAGTCCTCTTGGTCTAATTCCCCCAGGTTTCCTTTTTGCCACAGATGTTTCTGGCTCACACCCCTGGTCAGACTCACTCTGGGGCTCCGGCTCTGGGGCGATGGTCGGTGCTGTCCTCACTTCATTGGGCTCTGGCTCATTCATCGCGGCAGGAGGAAGCTCTCGTCTGCGGGGGGCTCTAGCAAAATCTCCGCAGTGCAGGGTGAGTCTGGGTCTAGCTGTTGTCTGGATAGGGGGTAGACACTCTCCAGATGATGGTAGTTTGCCCTGATCCAAAACGGCAATTTCACCGTCCCGTCGTGATAGGTGGAATTGGCGGCGAGACGGCAAATCTACAGCAAATAGTCCATTAAGCTCAGGCCCCTCCTGGCCAAAGCAGTGATCGGAGCTGCAAAATCCATTTTAGGTTGGGTATTCTGTCACAACTGGTGGTTGTAAATAGGCACACGACAATAAAGATGAATGTCAAAGTAAAGTCTTTAAAAGATAATCCAAAAGGCAAACACAGATCAAGGCAGGAAAAGCGCAACAACACATATGCAGAGACGAACATATACATGACAGCAGCAAATCAGCATATTAGAATGATTTCTGAAGGATCATGTGACACTGAAGACTGGAGGAATGATGCTGAAAATTCAGCTTTGCCATCACAGGAATAAAGTACATTTTAAAATATATTCAAACAGTCAGCAGTTCTTTAAAATTTTAATAATATTTCACAATAATCCTCCTGTCATACTGTATTTTCGATCATATAAGTGCAGCCTTGATGAGCATAAGAGACTTCTTTTTAAAAACATAACAAAATCTTACCGACCCCAAACTTTTAAACGGTAGTGTACATGCCAAAGGCACAGATGATAGAAAAACATATTTCAATCTAATATAATCCATTGATATTGGATGATTTGTAATTTTGGGGTGAACTCTCCCTTTTATTGTTACTCAAGTGTTGTTTTTTGTTCTTTTTGGCAGAGGGAGACAGTCACTTAAAGGACTTGATGCTGGTGGTGTCTATCGTGATTGGAGTGGGAGGCTGCTGGTTCGCCTACATACAGAACCGAAATTCTAGGGACCACGTGGGCAAGATGATAAAGGACTTAGAAGGCCTTCAGAGAGCTGAGCAGAGCCTCCTGGACCTGCAGCAGAAGTAAGCACTCAGTTTGTATAAATGAACAGAAAACACACTTACAGTGAATAGCAGCTAGCAGGCTGGAAAAGCTTTAAAGTGGAAATGTGATGCTTATATTTCATGATGCACAGTTGAATCATTTTAGTGAAACAGGACTACTTGTCTAGGTGGAGGAACATCTGGTTGTAAGTTAGCAATGTAATTCCTGTAGGTGGAGTTTGAAGAACTCAGCTGCATTGTAAACAGTGTTTCCATTTCATGGATAGTTACATCATACCCCAAGCAAAAGAAAAAACCCAAAGTTCACTTTTTAGCTGGTCATGAAAGATTTAAAGAAAGTAAGTTTGAACAAACAGGATTGTTAAGTAATGCTGTCAGCTCTAGTCTCATGCTAACTCATGCTTAGTTAGCATGGGTATACTTTCAAAACAGGGAGATTAGTTTTAAACCTTTTTTTTTTTTTTTTTTGATAAAGTCTGTTTGCTATAGTTACCATTAACAAATTTCTAATCCGTTTATACACATTGGGGGATGAATATGAATTATGGTCTGGGGTAATTGACAGCATGCCACACATCAGGTTGAAAATAACCTGGAAAATACATTTAAAGTTTATTTCTCATTCAAAGTGCAGTTTAGTCTGGTTATTCAATTTGGAGCAGTTATACTTATTAGTATCTTCAAACTTTTATTTTTATTTGAAATGCTAGACAGTTCCAGACACTGCAAAGATACAGGATAGAGGATTTGAGAATGTGAAATATCTTTCATCACATTGAGCTTGCAGCACAGGAGGCTACGTCACTTTTCTAATAGCATGATTCATCAGAGAATTATATTACATTAGTAAGCAGCAGCCTTCCGTTACGCTAATGAGCACTAATGCATATTACTTAATACTTTATACTTCATTATTTTAGTTTACTTTATTACACAGCTCTCTGTAATATTTGATTCTGATTTGTATTTCACAGAATTCTTCTGTCAGACATTTTTGTATGACCAAAAATGGTATATATTGGGCACTATCCATGGTGTAAGTGCAGAAAACGTTTGTCTTTTATTTTGTATTTTGCGTGTATGTTTCCAGGTGGTTTGGTCACATGGGTATCGGTGAGTATATACCTGGTAGTGTTTCCTGTTTGGTATTGTGTAGAGAGGGGGTGAGTAGCGGGGAGTGCTCACTTTCTGTTGACCCTTTATACGTATCTTCATCATCAATTGTCTCTACATGAATAGTCTGCTATCATGCCAATAAAACGTTATTGGATATTCAATGCAAGAAAACGCATCACGGATATTTCCTGCTGCTTAGCCTCTCAGCGGCTATAGGTTGCCGCTACACATGGCAACTAGTCGTAATTAGATAAATAATACTTGAAGAAAAGTTCATGCTTTATTGAAATACTTACGTTAAGATACAGAAGACAGAAACTTCTATGAATACATGCTTATTACATCTAAAGTGGCCTGAAATGAATGTGAAATACAACAATGTCAGTCAGATCTACACTAATTTGCTATTTAAAGACAAAAAGAGGAATTTGTCTATCTGTTGGAAATGTTTTCATTTCCTACTATCATTGTTCAGGTCAGAAGACTCTTGCTGGGTGATGCAAGCAATTCCTTAAATGGCAAGAGGATGGGCAGTGCTGTGCTGAATCCTGCTTGGAGTGTTTCAGACAATCGCACTATCATGCTGTATGCTCAGTTCAGCTGGCGCCCGCTGCACTGAGGCAGAACAGAGAACGTGTCTCTGTCTTTTTTCAGGGGTCAGAGGTCAGAGCTCGGAGAAGATCATGATTCAAACATCCTTTCTTTACGGTGCATTAATTTAAAGCAATGGCCTTATAAGGGGAGAGATGCAGTTTGGTGATCTATATTAGTTTACTCAAGGAAAAAGCTGTAGCGGAGGAATGTTTGTTGAGTGTAATGTGATTAAGTCACTGTGCAAGTATGGCCGGTGTAACAGCAGCCATGGATTTGAGTGTGTGGCACTTCACTCTAATTCCCATTTGGAACAGAGATCAGGACACCTCGTTTCCACTTCGATCCTCACCACGTCTGTCCCTGTGTGATGCAACTGGAGTTTCTGTCTGTCTTTCTGTCTGTCTGTCTGTATCTATCCATCTATCTATCTATCTATCTATCTATCTATCTATCTATCTATCTATCAGTCTAACATTCTTTCTATCTGTCTGTCTGTCTGTCTGTCTGTCTGTCTGTCTGTCTATGTCTGTATGTTTGTCTATATCTATCTGTTTGTCTATGTCTGTCTGTATATTTATATCTATCTGTTTGTCTGTATGTTTGTTTATCTGTCTTGCTGTTTAACGTTTTGTCTATCTCTGTGTATATCTGCATGTTTGTATATATCTATCTGTCTATCTGTCTGTATGTTTGTCTATAGCTATCTGTATGTTTGTCTATATCTTTCTGTTTAACGTTCTCTCTCTGTGTCTATGTCTGTCTGTCTATGTGTGTCTATAATGTTCTGTCTGTGTCTGTCTGTATGTTTGTCTATATATATATATATATCTGTTTGTTAAGTTTTTTCTTTATGAACTTTTCTATTTGTTCTATGCTGTTCATTTCCTTCCTTTTCATTTATCTTCTGCTTCCACTCCCAGTTATGAGTGTGTGTAACATTCTGCCTTGGCCACTGTCACATCATTGACAGTTTGATTTATAGCTTACTTCCTGTTTGAACATCATGGACTACGTCAGCACGAGAGAAGGCTGCCATGTGCTTCAGCTGAAAGCTTTGGAAAGATCACATTGTGTGATATCACGGTTGCACTTTATTTAACAGTACGTGCACTAACATGTACTTACAGTGTACCTATCTAAGAAAGTACTGGTAATATAAGGTAACTACATGGGTTAAGGTTAGGTTCAGGGGTAGGTTCAGGCAGGGTTAGTACCTTAGCCCAGTTATTTTAATAACCATAATAAGTACATACTATGTACATGGGGAACAGGACTGTAAAATAATGCTCTACCAATATCACAGATATGTATGTCAAACACAACTGATTTTAATTATTTTAAATGGAATCGAAGACCTCTTGTCAACATGGAACCACATTAGCCACATTAACACAACTAAATTTAGCCATCCTCCATGACTCAGAATCTCTATACGGTCTTCCCGTATATAGCTGGGAGGATGCATTTCCCTGTAAATCTGTAAGGAGTTTTTACCACATTATTACCACATCGAACAGGCCACATCTTGTTCAACTGTCTTTTCATGAGGAGGAAGAGGTGTGGTAGAGTCTTGCAGATCCAGTTCCCTTTTCATGTTGACTCAATTCTCCAGTGCTCCACCTGCTGGTGACTGAGGGGATATTATATATATATATATATATATATATATATATATATATACACTCACCGGCCACTTTATTAGGTACCCCATGCTAGTATTAATTCTTCGTGGCATAGATTCAACAAGGTGCTGGAAGCATTCCTCAGGGAGTTTGGTCCATATTGACATGATGGCATCACACAGTTGCCGCAGATTTGTCGGCTGCACATCCATGATGCGAATCTCCCGTTCCACCACATCCCAAAGATGCTCTATAGGTTGAGATCTGGTGACTGTGGAGGCCATTTTAGTACAGTGAACTCATTGTCATGTTCAAGAAACCAATTTGAAATGATTAGAGCTTTGTGACATGGTGGAAGTAGCCATCAGAGGATGGGTACATGGTGGCCATAAAGGGATGGACATGGTCAGAAACAATGCTCAGGTAGGCCGTGGCATTTAAACGATGCCCAATTGGCACTAAGGGGCCTAAAGTGTGCCAGGAAAACATCCCCCACACCATTACACCACCACCACCAGCCTGCACAGTGGTAACAAGGCATGATGGTTCCATGTTCTCATTCTGTTTACGCCAAATTCTGACTCTAACATCTGAATGTCTCAACAGAAATCGAGACTCATCAGACCAGGCAACATTTTTCCAGTCTTCAACTGTTCAATTTTGGTGAGCTCTTGCAAATTGTAGCCTCTTTTTCCTATTTGTAGTGGAGATGAGTGGTACCCGGTGGAGTCTTCTGCTGTTGTAGCCCATCCGCCTCAAGGTTGTGCGTGTTGTGGCTTCACAAATGCTTTGCTGCATACCTCGGTTGTAACGAGTGGTTATTTCAGTCACTGTTGCCCTTCTATCAGCTCGAACCAGTCTGGCCATTCTCCTCTGACCTCTGGCATCAACAAGGCATTTCCGCCCACAGAACTGCCGCTCACTGGATGTTTTTTCTTTTTCGGACCATTCTCTGTAAACCCTAGAGATGGTTGTGCGTGAAAATCCCAGTAGATTAGCAGTTTCTGAAATACTCAGTCCAGCCCTTCTGGCACCAACAATCATGCCACGTTCAAAGTCACTCAAATCACCTTTCTTCCCCATACTGATGCTCGGTTTGAACTGCAGGAGATTGTCTTGACCATGTCTACATGCCTAAATGCACTGAGTTGCCGCCATGTGATTGGCTGCTTAGAAATTAAGTGTTAACGAGCAGTTGGACAGGTGTACCTAATAAAGTGGCCGGTGAGTGTATATGTGAACTGTTTGTTCAGTAACGAGTCAACAGTGGTGCAGCTTGAGATTGATAATGTGTTTGCGTTCAGGCTGCAGATCGCACAGGAGGAGCACCACACAGTGGAGGAGGAGAAGGTCAACCTGGAGCGGCAGATGAAAAGGGAGATTGACGCAGCCAAGCAGGAGGCGCAGAGACTGCGAGAACTACGTGAGGGAACTGAGAACGAGCTGAGCAGACAGACATATGCAGAACAGGAGCTGGAACAGGTATGAGAAGGTTTTTTTTTTTACTCTTATCAAAACTTTATAGAGTATATATATATATATATATATATATATATATATTATAAATGGCAATTCATTTAAATAAATAGCATTTATAAAAGTAAAATAAATCAAATAGATTTATAAGATAAAACATAAAATAAAATGGTCAAATTAGCTATTATTAGAATGCAAAATATTGCAGAAAGTCAAAATTGTAAAGTTATCATTTATAAGTGTAGTACCTCCCCTGAAATGTATTTCATTTTGTTTATTTCAAGAGGGTGATTTTTTTCAATCAATCTTCCAAATCCTAGTAAAATAATGCCTCTTTTCATCAATCGCTCATCAGCAATATTTGGAAACCCTTGCAGTCTCCCTCAAATTCACCTTAGAGATGTCCAATCACCATGGGAACTGCTGAAGAGGTTTCCCTCATCAAAACACTGAAATGCAGCCAATATTCATGAGCGTGTGTGTTTGTTTTAGGTGCGAATGGCTCTAAAGAAGGCCGAGAGGGAGCTGGAGTTGAGGAGCGGCTGGTCTCCTCCTGAAGCTCTGCAGAAGTGGCTGCAGCTCACACACGAGGTGGAGGTGCAGTACTACAACATTAAGAAACAGAATGCGGAAAAACAGCTCATAGTGGCTAAAGAAGGGGTAAGATGGTCACATACTCACAAAATGACAAGCTTTAACTGAATATTAAATCTGTTTTGCTTGTTCAGCTAGCTTAGCATCCAGGTATTGCTTGTTAACTATGAAGTTGTGACCACCATAACAGGCAGAAAAGATCAAGAAGAAGAGAGGAACTCTCTTTGGGACGTTCCACTTGGCCCACAGCCCTTCACTGGATGATGTTGATCACAAAATCCTGTCAGCCAGGTGAGTCGCCATTTTGAGGAAGCTCTTGCCATTTTTGTATGCAATGTACAAGGTGAAGAATAATCTGAAGAACCTTTTTCCACTATGAAGACTATTCCTTTTGTGCATTGGAAAGCTTCCATGGACATTTTATGGTTCTTCATGGAACCATAAATGCCAATAAAGAACCTTTTTATTTTATTTATTTTAACCAAACTAAGTCTCACCTCTCTTTCTCTCTCACTTCTGCAGACAGGCTCTGGGAGAAGTGACCACTGCTCTGAGAGAAAAGCTCCATCGGTGGCAGCAAATTGAGATTCTGACCGGCTATAATATTGTCAATAACCCTGGCATGTCGTCTCTGGCCTCTTCCCTCAACCTGGACCCTGCTTTCCTGGGCATCCGCTCTGCTACACACCAACACCTACTGCTATCCGATGACCTAGACGACATGGACGAGGACATACTTTCCCCAGGAACCCTGCAATGTGAGTTTATCATGCACACAAGTGTGGTACAATGAGTCAAATCCGATCATATTCATCTGTGTCCAAATTTAAAGCTTCTCAGTCGCCTATAACCTTTTTTAAATGAGTTTTCTAACCCTAATACTTGGCAATTTAGCTTTCCGTTGAGCTTTGCCTTTTGTGGTGTGATATCATTGGCTAATGTCCGCAGATGCCGCCTGGCAGATGGATCGGCGAGTGAGCGACCTTTGGCCCATGGCCGTCGAGAGCCAATCCCCGTGGAAACAATCTGGTTGGCAGCATCCCCTTTATTCTCTGCCAATGCTGACACAAAGCAAACACTTCTATTTCCCTCCCACTGGCCAATTAAGACCTTCTAGATGGAATTTGTATTTACAGCTCTCAAAAAACCCTTAATTCTTTATTAGACTTTTGAAGTGCAGATGTGGAATCAGTGCTGCTGTTTATATTCCTTTTAAATGTGGATAAACTCCAGAGCAGGCGAAATCCATGTCCAGGCTTGGTCTATTATGAATTAGAAGCCTCTGATTCCATGTTTGCACTGATTTAAACTTAACAGGCCAAAATACCAAGTTTTAAGGTGGGGTCACATTTACTGTTGTTCGGTGAATTTTCAAGTGCAAAATCCTTTCATTACAATTGGAATCCACGCAATCAGAAATTTTGTTTGCGAAAGATTTCCCAGCACAGATTTCCCAACGGGTTCAGGTTGTTCACGGGAATTCTCCGTGTTGACCACCAGAAAGTTGCTTATTTTAAAAGTGACTTCTGTGTGAGCTGTGCTTCATGCATCGCTACACTGTTGACAATAGATCTTTTATTCCCGCCAAATTATGCCAAAATGTGACCACACTTTTTATATCGAAAATGATGCCACAAAGCAATGCTCTATAGGTAGCGCACAAGCTAGCTAACTCAAAGCTTTCTTTTTTATTATATATATGGGCTTTTCACACTGAAATTGTTAACCTTGGGTTATTTCTAACATTTGTTCTATGATGCTGGGTTTCACAATATTCACATTATGTCTTTAACGCAGCAGCTTAAAGTTAGCATTGCAAAGGCTAACTTGGGGTTAAAAACACATTGCTTACCCAATTTTTACAACCCCACCTTTTTGTTAAACTAAAGTTAAAAGTGGCCTTAATATAGGGTTAAAAGAAAGATGGTAACCCAGTGTTAAGCGCAGATTGCAAAGCCTATATTTAAACTTATTAGACGGCTCTTTGGAATATTCTGATTGGACGATGGCAACATTCTGCGCATAAACATTTTGTAAATTGTCTGTTAAACTATATTGGCTGTTGTCGCAAGCAGACAATGGGTCTCATTCACTAACCTAGTATGCGTGCAAATTTGTGCATGAAATCTGCAGATGAACATTTTCATGAATAAATCATGATTGATCAAAATCATGCAGTCGTTTATTAGAATACTCTAAATGTATTAACATTACAACGAGGTTAAGAACAAATTCATGCTCGTACGCACTTGTTGTGGATTAGACATACATTTTTTGTAAAAACGTCTGTGTATAAATACAAATAATCCACTCGTTATTGGTGAATGAGACCCAGCATCCTACTTGCTGCGTTCGTTTCATGTCTTTCAAAACACTCCATGGTCTTCTGACAAAATAATTAGACCCCAAATAATATTTCAAGTCCATTTATTCGTTAAGTAGCCGTGTAATAAGCTGGATAATGTACAGTCAGACGGTCATTATCCATCTCAAACGTTTCCATCATTCATACAACTAACCAAGAGCTGCATCTCTGCAGTATTTTTGGTGTAGGCTGGAAACCGTGTATTCGTCATCGTACATTTTTTGTGGACACTGATCTTCTTTGCACTGCGGCCTTGCAATGCTTTCACACTTTTATATGTTCACTTCCTGTGCCACATTATCAGCTCTGTTTTCCTTCATTAAGCACAGTTAATGTGGTCAATCATCATCATCATCACGCATGCTGCTTCCAGCTGGAACTTTCAAAATGTGTTTCAGTCATGTGTTTGTATTGTGGTCAATCTTTTGCATCAAAGACTGGTGTGATGGTACATGTATGTTCTCAAGTTCCCCTTCATCAACATCATGGCACAATATCTCATTATACCAGATATCATTTAGCACTATAGCTTAGTGTTCCACATGTAATCATCTAGTTGTCATGACGTATTGAATACTGTTTCCAGGTCCAAGCCTCCATTCCAAGTGAGAATACTATCTCAACAGCTGTTTTTGAGCCTTATAGCACATAACTATAACACATAGATTATAGCACACCTTTAAAGGGTTAGTTCACCCATCAATTACTCACCCTCATCATTCCAAACCCATAAGACTTTCTGTCATCATCTTTGTACGAATCTTTTTGATAAAATCTGAGAGCTTTCTGTCCCTCCATTGACAGCTACGCAACTACCACTTTGACACTTTAAAAAGTTCATAAAGAGATCATAAAACTAATCCATATGAATTGAGTCCGATTTTTTTGGAAGAGACACGATTGCATTATATGACGAACAGATTGAATTTAGGCTTTTATTCACATATAAACTTTCATCAAATCACACAGCAGTTGAGATTAACAGAAGCATGTTCTCTTGATGTGCGAGAACCAATGAGGTTCATTCTTGTGTTACGCAGCACGTTTGAGCTTCAGCAAGAACCAATGTGGTTTGTTCTCGCACATCAAGCAGGTTCGGTTGAGCTTCTGTTTATGTCCACCGATCAATGTTTAAATGTGAATAAAAGACCAAATTAATATAAAGTATCAATCGAGTCTCTTCAGAAAAGTTGTACTAAACCACTTAATTTATATAGATTAGTTTGACGATAATCATCAAAGGGTCAGTTGTGTAGCTGTTAAAGGGATACTCCACTTTTTTTGGGAATAGGCTCATTTTACAACTCCCCCAGAGTTAAACTGTTGAGTTTTACCGTTTTTGAATCCATTCAGCCGATCTCCGGGTTCTGGCGGTACCACTTTTAGCATAGCTTAGCATACATCATTGAAGTGGACAAGACCATTAGCATTTCTAAAATAAAAAATCGAAAATAGGCTACCTTCCGTCAACACAACGGAACTATTTTCAGGCGCTGCGTCATATCATTACGCCTGCTGCACTCATGGTACGGCAGTAAAGTTTCTTGATTATTACGCAGGAATGAGAGTATAGTTCCTAGCCATACCAGCCTAGAAAATCGTAACTTTACATTTTCCGTCGGTCTTAGTGCACGATGTAACTACAGAAGAGTCAAGTTTTAAATAGGAAAAATATCGAAACTCTTTGGATTCAAAAACGGTAAAACTCAACAGTTTAACTCTGGGGGAGTTGTAAAATGAGCCTATTTCCAAAAAAAGTGGAGTATCCCTTTAATGGAGCGATTGCATTAAAAAAAAATCTTCATCTGTCTTCCGAAGATGAATGAAAGTCTTACAGGTTTGGGTCAAAATGAGGGTGAGTAAATTATGACAGAATTTCCATTTTTGCGTGAACTGTCCCTTTAAGCTAAGCTTTTAAGAACTCAGTGTACACTACAGAACAGTCTTTGGGCTCTCAGTGTCCCAGACTCCAATATGGGTTAGGGTTATCTTGATAAGATTTAACGGTTTGATTATTTCTCCCATGTACATGCAGTATGTATCTCACAGAGACTGGATGATTTGAATGACAAACATCTGTGTGTGTGCCTCTCCTCAGCTCCCAGCCTGGTGTCCCTGCGGCCCCGTCACGGAGACCCCACGCTGAACCTGAGCTCACAGAGGTTGGTAGAGGGCAGTGAGAGTGAATCTGGGCCCCTGCGGCCCCTCGGCCGACCTTATGTGCGTCAGACTCGCAGCCACTCTATTGGTCACACGGAGTTTCTCCCTGTGCCTTCACTCTCTTCCTCTCTGTCTCATCCCTCCATCGTCTCTTCCTCGCGCTTTGCTGCGCTTCAGTACCGTTCCTCATACTTCACGTCAGTGGAGGCGGTCTCAGGTCTGCCGCCAACAGGGTTCACCGGTTCATGCAGCGATCAGGGAACTGAAAGCATCGGGTACCACAAACACAGTTTGCTGTGCACACACACGGCATGTGTGTAGGGTTTCCCTGTTAAATACTTTACTAATTAAGAACTGAAATATTTCCTATTCTAAAAAACTGACTGCTAACAAAGTTATTATTTAATTTTTTTAAGCTTATGCATTAGTTTTCACGCTAAATAGTAATGAATATCAATTCTATATTAGGCTATAATATATTGAATTATATTATGATTTCACTTTTCTTGAATCATAACTTTTTGATTTAGCTAATTTGTTTTTAATTATTTAAATGTAAATGCAGTGAGAAACCAAATTAATCCAGCATGCATCTCTTTGTTATTTAAAGTCCACATGAAATCAGAATTCACTCGATTTACTTTCTTTATAAAACGTGATCCATCAATGGACATCCTTCCAGTGGGGGAAAAATGTCTTCATATTTCTAAACTTAAAATTAAACTTGTCCTGTCTCTGAAACAACTTTTTACATGACATTACAAAGGGAGGGAGGTGGGTTATTGGAATATGCTGAGATGTTTTCGTCTTCTCAGTCAAACGTTCTGTAGGTGCTTGAAGCATTTCATGAGGGAAGTAGTATCTCACAATCCACTGCAAATTGAATTGAGGTTTGGCTGCATTCTGAATGGATACCTAATTGGGGATCCAATCGTTTTAAGTGTGATGGAAGTACATGATTAAATAGAAGTAAAATGGATAGCGACTGCCTTTTCATGTTGACCAAGTGCAAAAATTGAAACTAGCAGACAGAAGGAAAGTAAATGGGTAGATTCTGAAATCCTCTTCTCTCATTGTACCATCATCTAGGGATCTGAACCGGTCTGAATCGGATTCCTCCCTCTCCATGTCTCATTGCGGAGACGCCCAGCGCTGCTCCTCAATTCCACTCTACAGTAAGCAGTCCAGATCCAATGGTGGTTCCTCCACCGACAGCCTTCTGCTGCAGAAAAAGACCTTTGGCATGGAGAAATGTGCCAGTCTCGGAGAGATCCACTCGTCCAGCCTCACCTCAGCCAACTCCATGCGCTCTCTCAACTACACTTCCGAGCAGGACGGCCCGTCATCACCGTCAGGAAAGAGATCCAGCCGAATCTCTCACATCGCAGGAAAGAAGAACCTGTTGGACGAGGACAGTTGCTCCAACGGAGAAGACACTGAAGGTTCCAGCACGAACCGCAAGAAACACGCCTTTACCAAAATCTTCAGAAGGCCAAAGAAATAACAACAGTTTTGGGAACATGTCAAAATATAAAAGGACTAAGACCCGCACAATGGTACTTTCTAATCTTGAAGAGTTTTAGTAAGAAGAACGTCATTTATGTGGAGTTTTGGATTTATATAGTAATTGTTTTGACCAACGGCAACAGGAAGAGTTATTTGTTGGGAACAGGTGTGATATCACTGTACATTTATTTATTTACTTCAACAAATAAGGGCACTAGATGGTAATGTCCATTTTTGGTGCGAGTTTCTTCTGTTTTTAAGTGTAGTTAGCCTGAGCTTGAGCTTTCACTCTCAAAACCAACGCCGAAGCGCATGAAAAGACTTTCAGCCTCTGCCTACTCTATGCTGTTTTACATAGGATTTGCTTGTACTTCTTTCCTTTTCAAGTGCAGCTCAACATTGTGTTGACAAAGCAAAAGATTTGGCCATAAATATTACCATTCACATCCCCTTGCTAAAAAAAAAACAGACCGTATGACACAGTATAAGTATGTGTATTGACCGACAGATGTGAGGCTGAATATATCGTTACTTGCCTCAGATTTCCCCCTACTGTTGCCAAAATTTGTTTGAAAATCTTTTAAACTTTGTTACGTCCTCATGGTGGAGATGACCATGCCTTTCATTTTAAGCATTGCCAAATGTCATTTCATGCGAGTCAGAGATATATACTGTAGTTCTCGTCTCTGTTTCTGATGGTCAGCGTGTAACTACATGCCTTTAATTTCATTCATGCATTTCATACTGGTGAAATAATAAAACAAGATATACAAAGGGAGGTTTGGCAAATTAAAAGTTGAGTGCTAACATACACTGAGGACTTTCTTTTCTTGACACTAGAACACATTTTAAAATACATTTGTCACTATTATTAGGTATTTCTTTTTCACATTTGACTTATTTTATTTAATTTTGGCAGACTTTGTAAAAAAAAAAAGTGAAAGGTCAAATTATTAATTGCATTTTTTTAAATTTACAGGGACAATGTATTATCAAAAAATCTAAATGAAAATCAAAAATGAAATCTGAAATTAATCCGTTTTTAATTTTTTTCAAATTGATTATTTTACATATTGGCACATGCACTAGCACTACCATTCAAAAGTTTGGTGTCAGTAAGATTTCTTTAAGAAATAATTTTATTCACTTTGGGTACTGTGTACTTTTATACACATTAAATTGATAAGTGACTTTTTTTCTTAAACATTTAAAAATACCTTCCATAGACCACAAGAATAATAAAAAAAGAAAACAATGTTTGACGGTTCTCAGAGCTGAATAGGTTTTCTAGAGTAACTTCCTCAGCATTGCATTTTTTTTAAAACCTCTTTGCGTCATGGAGCTGGTGATGAATCTGCAAACGTCTTTTTGAAACCATCGCAGGAAGTAGCTATGCCATAATTGTTTGCAGAAAACCACTGTGAAATATACACCAACGCAGTATGCAGACCCAACGCAGCACGTTCGGTGTATAGATCCCCTCAATTTTTGAATTGTTCATCCAGGGTAAGCTGAACACCAGTGCACTCACTGGACATATTTCTTCTGTGTATTTAATAAATCCTGAAGGTTTGTTTGCATCTACTGTAATGGAGCAGAACATTAAATGGCAGGCATTCGTGCACTGAGAGAAAACATCTAAATCCAGATAGCTCAATGAGTTAGTGTCCACAACAAAGTCCCAACAAGAGCAGGTTTACCACTGTTACCATGGTGCTCTGAATAAACAAACCTGTTTCAGAGCCTCCTCTGTCATAAGGAAGTATGCTACATTCAAGTCCTTGGCAGAACACTGAAATAAGCTGAATCTGCCCTTGGTCAACAGATCAAACAGCTTTTGCTGAGAACAAATTATGAAAACATTTTGATTTTATTTGCTGTATGTGTGGCATCATAAAAAAAAAGGTAATGATTTTATACATTTAAACATTCTAAAGAGGGTTTACAATGCCTCTTGTACTACATTTTATTTTCTTGAGAACAGTTATTTTAAATAATACGTTCAGTTTTGCTGTAGATCGCTTAAAGGCATTGTCTTGACTTGATTTGACCTGGTTCTTGTATATAATGTACATTTCACTGTAAAGGAAAAACAGATCATGTTACTCAGTCTGTTACCTTATAAAATAAGTCTTTACACTCTTTGATGAAAAGACTAGGTGAATGGCATGAAATGGAATCCTTAAGACATCAAGTATTCAACCAGAGATACCAAATGTCTTTTCCGTTTCTCAGTCTCTGGCTTCGGCCTAGCCCCAGTGCTATTTCAAATGAGCAACATCATCATAAATTAAACTAATAATGGTCCTACAAGTCAGTAACATCTTTTCAGTCCAGCTGGACTGATGAGGAAGAGTACTGTTCTCTAGACAGAAGTCCTCACCAGTAAGTGTCCTTTTGAGAGTGTTACGCCTCGCTTATGGCCTCCCAGTTCATGGCGGTGAAGTCTGCTTCAGTCAGGTTAACCGTGAAGGGTCCCTCTATTCTCTGGGGCTCCACGTGCTGCTCCTGTGAGGTCGTGTTTATGTTGTTAACACGCCAGGAGTTGAGGGGACGAATGGATTTCTTAAAGCGCTGAATGTAAGAAACATAGGTCAAAATTAACACATGCAATGTTTATTGAAAAATTAAAGTGCCCTATTATGCCATTTTAAAGGTTGGAGGTCTCCTTCAATAGGTTTACATGCATCCAAGATCAAAAAACACTTTAATTTGCTCATTATCTACAGCATCACCTCTTTTCTCAGTGTCTGAAACGGTTCGATAAAGGATTCAGTCTCTCTAAACCCTGCCTTTCTGAGAGCTACTCTGCTCTGATTGGTCAGATGGCCCAGTCTGTTGTGATTGGTCTACCGCTTACAGCAGGTGTCAGAAACAAAACGCCCATTACCACATTTGAGTGTCTGCTCAGGAGGTTTCCTCGGAGCTTGTTTAGAAAGTGATATGAACAGTAATGATGGCGTCCGTTTTAACCATATCAATTCCAGCTTGAGTCCTCATCCTTTGGAAGTGCATACAAAGTGAATTTGCTTTCAGTGTGCAGAAAACGGTGTTTTCTCGACATATCGACAACACGAACCAGACTCTTCCAGGCCTCAGCTACAAATACAGTGTTTAAGGGCGGGTCAAAGTAGACGCTGTTTCCAGGCAGCCAATGAAGTCCATCGGCTGGCATTCATGCTAATTTGTTACAGGCCTACGTAAGTTTGTGCAGTAAGTAGCCATCTTTCCATCCACTTGTCAATCGAATTATCTGAAGTTCGGTAAAAAACCTCATGTGAATAAAGCTGGTGAAAGTGTGTTTCCATCAAACAGCTTTAAAGTGGATAAAAACCTGTGCGTAATGACGTCACATGCTGTTTTGCGATCAAATTGGTATATCGAATTGATTTGAGACATGTTAAGGTGTTTCCATTCATTTTCTCACCGAATTGCACAACATTCAAGCCAACATTTGCGAACAAAGTTTTACTAGGCAAAATGGATCGCACCATAATAACGTTTCCATCCGCGTTTATCGCATAAGCCCTATATCGATCAAGATAAAATCCGATAAGACCGATCGTATTTCATTTGAGTCGATATTCATGAAATTCAATCGAATTTTAAGTAAATTTAATTTTACTTAATTTTTCATTCGATATCACTTAATGCAGATAAAAACGTGTGGATGGAAACATAGCTAGAGAGACTGGAATTACTGACGACTCGTTTCAGGCAGTTCAGAATCGATTATTTATAGAGCACTTTGATCTTTGAAACTTTGCAGACATTTTACATTCACAAACAGCTATATTACAAACGACACAAAAAGATATATCCAAAAAAGCATAATGGGGCACTTTAAATAATATTTGAAACTTTTATTTAAATCATTTATTTACATTCATTCAAAATGTATTAATTATTCATTTAATTTAAATAATTATTATTATTTGAAATCAAAATTTATTATAACATTATAAATGTCTTTACTGTCATTTTTGATTAGTTAAATGCATCCTTGCGGAATAAAAATGTTAATATATGGTGATTTGGAGGAACTTACATCTTTAAGAGTGCCAGACTCTTTACTGACAGCCACAATGGCCCAGATGAGAATCTGCAGACAGCAGAAGGCACCCATACACACGCCCAGCGCTTTGCCCCAGGTCGGAAACACGTATGAGCCGTAGGTCAGAGACGTGCGGTACATCTCGATGAAGATGTAGGTCAGGATGAACTGCACAGACAAAACAATCGCTTAGCATTCTGAATATAAAGACAGATGCCTCTGTGAATGGGAACCATCACTGTCAGTGTCCCAGCAACTCTGAATTATTCATTACACTGGACGCAGGACAGATATGGTGTTTGGTTCCACACTTTGCTGCAGAGGCAAGTTTCTACCCGTAATACAATTCTGTTCTGACCCTTAAAAGTCTGATGAACATTTCCATATTACATTATTTCACAATTACATAACTGTTCATCATAAACAGAAAGATCACAATATACATCATTACATGTTAAAAGATGAGGCTGATTCCAAAAAACAACCCAACCAAAAACAGGACACTCACTGTAAGCAGAAAGGGAGTGAAAACCACCCAGCAGGCTTTAAAGTACCACAGCAGTTTTGTGCACCAGGGCGGGCAGTGACAGATCATGTCCACAATGTCCTGACAGAACTGGTTCACCCCTGCAATCACATCAGCATATGCAAATATAATATAGATCTCAGAATGCAGTCACATGACGTAAAGGAACATGTGACAGAGAGGTTGATTATTATTTAGCAGACACTTAGCCAAACCAATGAATGTAAAATGACTACAAGAAAATTTAGTATTTTTCTATAAAGCTCTATTGAAACAATATTGGTCTAAAATGGACATGCTGTCAAAATTAGAGAACTTTTCATATAACATTTCATGTAACTCAGAAACACAAAGCAGAATATCTTATATCAGAATAAGTGCATCAGATGTGAATATGCGTGTTGTGTTCTTCATCAGAAGCACCAACAATATCGACCTGATACTGTTCCTTTAAACCATTAATTTTGCTTCCTATGGACTCATAAAAACCCAAAAAGTTGCTTTACTCTAAGGCAATCTGACTGCAGGTGCTTTTCAGTTTTATGTGCTATATGAATCTTAGTTCACACTTGTAGTTGGGTTCTCTTGGTTCTTTTGGTCCAGACCAAAAAGAAAATGATACATTTAGTTCTGATTCACACTGTCATTTTTCAGGCCGAACCTAAAGATACAAAACAATAAAACGGCTTTTATATTGAATATGTATTTTACGACAGAACACTGAAAACAATGCTGTGTTTTGGGCTAAACATGCTCGTTGTATGTGCGTACATGTGATGTTACTTCTACCAGCTTAGAACTCATGAAGAGTTTATAAAATGTGAAAAAGTGTCAAAACAGTACCAGGAATTCCTCGGTTCCACATAAATGAAGATCTGCTGCAAGACAGTATTTTCAACACCTATACGCAACTGTAATGTGCAACTAAGCAAACTAGGTATGCTTGAGCATTCTGTCCTTTTTAGGGTCTCATAGACATGTCCAGTTTTTGGTTCATTTAGATGTCATTGGTCCATGTTGCGTTCATATTTCAGTTTAATTTCAACAGAGTTCATTTCACTTTTTCAGTGGTCTCGGTCCGCTTGTTTGGTGCGCACCAAGGTTCAGATGGCGGCGTTCACACTTATTCAAATAAACCACACCAACAGAGCAATCGCACTAGAGTTTGTTTTAATCGAACCAAACCTGCCAAGTGTGAACACCCCCTTAAACTACTATATCAAAGAGAGTGTACCATAGAAGAATGAGATGCCAATGCACATGAAGAGAGTAATGATGATGAGACCAAAGCTAGTGCTGAAGGAGTCTATAAGCGTGAACCAGTATATCCCACCCTGTGATGAAAAAACACAGGACAAAATGAAAATATGAGACAACAAAAACAGTAATAGCATGAAGAAGATCCCTAATGAACAATATGAAGATGGACAAGATGATGAATTATGATATTAAACATTTCAGAAGCATAACTAAACCTTGGACATCCGTACACAAGTATTTATAAAAATGTCAAATACGGAACACTAATATCGGTTCGTTTGCTCCTCTTACATCAGTGATAAGCAGCAGGCCCATCAGATAGAAGGCGAAACAGAGCAGCGCCAGGAACAGCGTCTTGTGCTTCAGATTGGATCTGAGCTGAGGAAACTCATCCATCACTGCTGTACAGATGCCCTCCATGTTACCAAACTACAGGACACAGAGAGAGAACTTCACAATAGCAAGAATTAAACAAAGGACAGTGTCCTCTCTTAACCTGTCTGGAGTATACAAACATGTCATAAGTTTCCCTGACATCTACATCAACAAAATTAAACAGATCCTCGGTTTGCTGTTAGGGCAACACAAGGACTGCTGTGTGCCATCCATCATTCACCATCATCTGTTTGTGCTCATTCCAAACTGCAGTATATTCAAGCTATATTTGTTGTATATATAAAGCAATACAATACTCTGAAACTGAACTTAGTGACACTGAAAGACAGACAGGGCTTTCAGGGGAAGACAGAGGAAGGAAGACCGCTGTGTTACTGCACATCCCATCCCTGAGCTACAACACTCATTTCAGTAAATGTGCATGAAGACAGGATGTATTGTACACTGTTATTTCACACATCTCTTGACAAATCTGCTTCCTGAATACTGATGTTTCCTACAATAACATTTCGAATCCAGAAACACTGAAACCCGATCACTTGGATTCCTATCAAACAGAGTTCTCACACTTTTGGACCAATCAGGTTCCCATGGCCTTTCCAGTCATTTAATATGGATCATTCTTTCCTTTTTAAAGAAATAAACGGGCATATCTGTATGTCAGGTCCTAGTCTCCCTAGATTCAAATGATTATTCTTATGTGTACAGTACACGTGCACAAATAATGTTTGCATACCATTCAAATGTTTGGGATCCGATTTTTTAAAAGAAATACTTTTTAGACAGGATGCAGTAAGTTGATCAAAAGTGACAGTCAAAGACATGTATAATGTTACAAAAGATTTCTGTTGACTGGAGTAATGACATGAACATTCAGCTTTGCCATTACAGAAATAAATTACATTTTAAATTGTTATGATATTTCACGATATTACTAGTTTACTGTATTTTTTTTTTTTTTTTTTTTAATATATGAGACTTTTTTCAAAAACATTACATATTCTTACCAACCCCAAACCTTTGAATGATAGTGTATGTGTGTGGTGTGACATTAGACACAACATGAAAATGGTCTCCAACATGAATAACTGTCAAACTTAAAAACCTGAATGCACTGCAGGGTCTTACCAGTGTGTCCACTCCCAGCATAAAGAGCATGAGAAAAAACAGAATGGACCAAAACACTGATCCAGGGAGAAGAGCAAGGGCTTCTGGGTAGGCAACAAACGCCAGACCAGGACCTAAAAGGTTAAATACAATGACATAAGTTCTTGAAAAATAATAAACTACGTATTGGCTTTGAAACTGCAAGGATTTAAAAACATTTTATGTGACTGTAAATCATAGGGCTGGTGTGTGCTGAGCTATCCGGGATGTCAGAAGAGGAAGAAAACAGGCTAAACAGGCTGTACCTGTGTCTGCCACCTGACCCACGGGCACTCCCTTCCTCCAAGCCATATGACCCAGGATAGAGAAAATGGCAAAGCCAGCAAAAAAACTGGTAGCGCAGTTCCCTATGGTGATAATCAGAGTATCCCTGCAGGAAAGAAATCATTTTAAGACCTTTAAGTTTCATGAGACCAAAAGCAAAAACTGTTTTTTCCCACAGTAAAAAAGCCTAACCTGATGACATTATTGTCAAATTTATTGTAAGACGCCATTGACAGGAGGCCACCAACACCAATACCCAAAGAATAAAAGATCTGCGACGCAGCATCATTCCACACCTACAATGACAGGAAGTTACAAAGTGTGTACAAAGCTGAAAGAAATGGAAAACTGTAGCATTGATTTAAAAAAAAATTGCATTGTTTAGTAGATGGTACCTGTGCATCAGCCAAATTGACCCAGTTTGGGGTGAGGTAAAAGGCGACACCGTTTAAGGAGCCCTCAAGGGTGGCCCCTCTGATGATGAGGACCACCAGCACAAAATAGGGGAAGGTGGCAGTCACATACACCACCTTACATCAGAGGAAAGATGGGAAAATAATTTGTATCATGTAAGAATATATTCTCCTCTGCTCTGAAATGGCCTCCACACCAGGGAAATTACAATTAACTCAAACCATAAAAAATTCAATTAAATATATTTTTAAAAAACACCATTTTATTTTAGCTAGTTGCCAAGGGAACACACACACAGAGAAACGGGGCTCTCGCTTGATTTCCGGGATATTGTATATAATTTGCGGGCGTCAGGGAGCCGCTATCAATATGCGTGAGACTCCCGGAACTTCCAGAAGAGGTGGGATGTCTGTGATGTATTAAAATAACTATAACTAAAATAAAAATCAATAGCAAGCTAGCAACTATATTAATGTTTTTTAAAAACTTATTTTAAAAAAATTACAAAAAAACCCACAAAAACAATTATTTAAACTTGAACTAAAATTTTATGGAAAAAAAACAAAAACAAAAAAAAAACAACGTAAAGCTACTTTCCTATTGGGATAAAAGCCAACTGGATGCACTGCGACATCTTACCTTGCCGGAGCTGCGAATGCCCTTGAGCATGCAGAGAAAAATGACCACCCAGGCAGCCAGCAAACAGAGAGCGAGAGGCCAACGCACTGGACCGGGATCATGCAGCCCTTCACTGTTCACCACACCCAGAACCTTTACACTGAACACACAAACACTGTGTAAGCCTCAAGTACAACATGCAGTATTGTGCCATCGGCTAGGGCTGTTTCAAGTGGTTTGTGGTACATTAGCATTAGTCTCGCCACAGAACACTAGAATAGATGTTACAGGTCTGTGTGTGTCGGTAACAACAGATCATCACACCTCTAACTGTGGTATTTTTAGATTCAAGGATGTGAACAAACATGAAACATGAACAATCAAATTATGGCAACAATTTCGGTTCATTAGTTCATGCAGGTGAGCTTGAAAATACTTTTACAGCATTTATTTAATCTACACTACCATTCAAAGATTGTCTTAATGCATTTGAAAGAAGTCTTGTGCTTACCAAGGCTGCATTTATTTAAACAGAAATACAGCAAAAACAGTAATATTGTGAAATAATATGACAATTTAAATGATCTGTTTTCTATTTTAATATATTTTCAAATGTAATTTATTCCTGTGATGGCAAAGCTGAATTTTCAGCATCATTACCCCAGTCTTGTCACATGATCCTTCAGAAATCATTCTAATATGCTGATTTGATGCTCGGAAACTTTTCTGATTATTATAAATGTCAAAAACAGTTGTGCTGCTTAATATTTGATACATTCAAGTCCAAATGAACAGCATTTATTTAAAAGAGAAATCATTGGTAACATTATAAATATCTTTAAAGACACCTTTGATCAATTTTATGCATTTTTGTGGAATAAAGGTATTAATTTCTAAAAAGTGACCAAACTTTTGAATGGTAGTGCATGTTAATTTTAACATACACATATTTAATAAATAAAACAGTTATAAACATGATTATGATTACATTAATTATAAACAAATAACAATGAATAGTACATTTATAAATCAACATTAATAAATGCTGTAAATATTAAAATGATTAGTACATGACACTTAACAGATTTACAGACCTATTGTAAAATGTTACCCAAATTTCTATGAAAAACTTCTAATAATCAATTATGCAACACAACTTCTCTTCCAGGCCCTGGTCATATCTAGGCTGGATTACTGCAATGCTCTTCTGGCTGGACTTCCATCATGTGCAACTAAACCTCTACAAATGATCCAAAATGCTGCAGCTCGTCTGGTCTTCAACGAGTCCAAAAGAGCCCACGTCACTCCTCTGTTCATGTCTCTGCACTGGCTACCACTCGCTTCTCGCATCAAGTTCAAGGCATTGACGCTTGCTTACAGATCTATCACAGGCTCAGCTCCCTCCTACTTTCACTCGCTCCTACGAGTTTACCTCCCTACCAGAAGCCTACGATCAGTCAATGAGCGACGGCTCGTGGTACCATCACAGAGAGCCAAAAATGAACTCTCTAGAGAACATTCTCATTCACAGTTCCATGCTGGTGGAATGATCTCCTCCACCCTCATCCGGAATGCAGAATCCCTGACAACATTCAAAAGACAACTGAAAATTCATATCTTCCGTGAGCACTTAACCTCATAAAAATAAAAATAACTCTTTCCTTTTCCCTTAATCCTCCCTTGTCTGGCTTATGCTACTCTGAGAAATGCCTGCACTTTGTATTTTGAGCACTTCTTGCGTTGTTTTTGCCTCTTCACAGTGACTCGCTTTAATTTACTCCTAATAAGTGGCTTACACATCATGTCAGAACTGTGCACATTTTATGGATCATCAGTTAATATATTAATATACACTAGTTTCAAAATCAATGATGGTATTTTTAAAATAATTTTTCATTTAATTGTATTTATTTATAAAAGAAGGCAATTTACAGACTAGTTTAGTAAATTTGTATAGAGAAACTGAGAAAAAAAGAATAATTGAGAATCCTTACTTCCAGAAGACCTCAGAGGGACTTTGGGTGACATTAGTTTTGTTCTGTGGAGAGAAAAATACAGATGATAGGCAGCAGTCTGTAAGGCTACAAATTACAATTGTTCAACATTTTATGTTAACTTTTGAGCAGAAAAGTAAGACTTACTCCACAAAAGGCAATGTTATGAAGGGCATCACATGACCAGGGAAGAGGGCTCTGGAAAGAGCTGCCCAGGTAGTAGAATGTCCAAGCGATAATGACATTATAATAGAGACACACAAGAATGGACACACACAGCATCCCTATGCCAATCCCTGAAACGAGGCCAAGACAACACAGTCAGCTCCTTTTGTTTAGCCCTGTATTTAATTACTGATTATTACAATACAGAGGGGCTATTTATTCTTACTTATGCAAAGTGGTTACACGACTTTGAATAATGAATAGAACTCAAACCCACAGCCCAATTTACAAACCATAATTAAGCTGCTGAATTGGTGAATTGCATGTGTTGTGGTACCTTTGAGGAGCGGACAGCACTTCCAGACGGTAATGGGACCTGCAGCTCCATACTGGCCCAGGCTGAGCTCCATGAGGAAGAGAGGCATTCCAGTGAAGAAAAGCATGATGAAGTACGGGATGAGAAACACACCTGCAACCCAACACAGGATAACAGTCAATGTTCTATTTCAGAAACTTATAAGCTTATTTTGTTGCTCAAACAGTAGAGTATGGCACTAGCCATGCCAAGGTCATAGGTTCGATTCCCAGGAAAGTCGAGAACTGATTAAATGTATTCCTTGAATGCAATGGAAGTCACTTTGGATAAAAGCATCTGCCAAATGCTTACATTTGAATTTTTGTTGTCAATGTTAATTTTCGGCCTTTTAAACACTTTTATTCTTATTCATATTTGTTTTAAATGGCATGAGTCAGACACAGCTCAACATGTTAGAACATGTACACCAACCACTGGGCCACAACCCCAAATGATGTCTTTTGTGCCAGTGATTCCACACTCCTAAATCACTGGGATTTGTCAATGGGTTTCTTTTTCCCTCAGGATTTGCATTATTTATACATTTCACATTAAATAAGTCTCTTCAAACCATCCAGAACCTTAAAAAACTAATATATTTACCTATGGATATGAAAACATCCTGTCAGGAAAGCTGTGATTTTTAAAAAATGTATATAAATGTTAACAGTAAATATTAACAGTAAATCTTAACAGATTTACTGTTAAGAAACTAGTCTAATTGATGTAATAGCTCTACTATGTGATGATGAGGCCAAACAAAGATTATATATGCCCATGTTAAAGTCCTGATAATTCTGTATATAACTAATCATGAACAGAACTGAAACATCACTGTGTGTTAGAGCTGCACAATTAATCGTTAAACGATCGCAATCTCGATTCAAACACCAATCTTATTCCAAAATGTCAACGATTCTCATGAGTCTTTTAAACCTTTGACGAGTCCAATCACAGCGTTGGTGTTGGTGCTGCCGCTGACCCAGAGAGCGCAGTTGTCATTATGTATAGATATGAAAAGCTTCACAAACAATCACACACACAGTATCATTATATTTATCCAGTAATGGATGTATGAGCGAGTCATTGAATCATTCATTCAAACAGATTTTTACAAAAATAATTAATTCAAATTAATAATAAAAAATGTAATATACTATATTGTTTAGGTGTCTATTCAGAATCGTGATTGCTATTTTAAACAAAACAAAAAGTGTGATTCTTAATTTATCCAGAATTGTGCAGCTCTTGACTGGTAAGACTGTTCACCGACCCTTAGGAAAATTATCCATGATTTTGTGATCGGTTACTGTTTGTATTACCATAGTTTTCCGACAAATATGATTAAATGGTGGATAACATCATATCTATAAGAAAATGACAAAAAACATACCACTCTGTGGTATAAATCGTTAATATTTAAATCTGAGTAGAGCTTGCAGTTACAGAGGTGCGGGATATTTCACAAACGCGCTAAGCGGTGCCAATCACAACACACTGGGCCAGCTAACCAAAATCACAGCACATATTCTATTTAAAGGGGTCATATAATGGTACATGCACTTTTACAAGTTGATTGTACTGAAATGTGTGTTGGCAGTGCCTGTACACAACCATCATAAAATGATAAAAATCCATCCAGTGTTTTTGTTTTAATCTCCTTATATGTTTTCCCCTGCCTCAAATCAAGCCGTTCGACCGTGTGACATCACACGGTCGGAAGCCCCTCCCACGATTGTTGATTGACAGGAGCATTTCAACACAGACCCGCCCTCGCTCTTGAGCGAGCTGTCAATCATAGTCTGCGCGGACCGGCGCGGTCATTGTTGATACGCTGGAGCACTGTCTATGAGCAGAATGGCGTCTAAGCGATTGTGGTGTTCTGTTCTTGGGTGTAATAACGAACACAGCAGTCATTTTAATGTTCCTAAATCCGAACCGCTGAAGACGCAGTGGCTGAGTTTGTTTTCGAAGGGAAAATTCCCCACGAGCAACGTCAATGCCCTCATGTTTGCGCGAATCATTTCACACCAGACTGCTTTATAAAGGAGGATCAGTATAAAGCTGGTTTTGCTAAGAAGCTGCTCATGAAAAAAGGATCGGTACCAGATATTCGTGTTCCTGCTGAACCTCTAGAACAACTGAAGTGAGTGTAACGTTTTATTAAACTTTATATTAATATATTAATCTTTGCAAATCGCTAGCTGCACGCTTCACAATGAATGCGTCTAAGGTTTACACTCAGGGTACATTACGGCATGTTTTCTATGAATGATGTTCTCAATATAATTCATAATCCCACGTTTATAATGAACAACACGTTATGGTTATTGTGTTATTGTGTTACAAACGTGTAGGCACAGAACAGAGAGGCGGAGTGAGCAAACCTCATTATCATTTAAAGTCATATGCACTGAAACGGCGTGCTGAAAACAGAGCTGTTTTTGACCAGGTAAAATAAGTGTTTTCTTACAATACTAATGAGAATTTTTAATTTAAACCCTAAAGAATCATATTAGCTTGTACAAAAATGGCATTATATGACCCCTTTAAAAAGGAGGGGCTTCATCCAAAATGACTAGTTCGAGATAGACTGGGGAGAGAGGAGCTGTAATGTAAAATATGTGAAAAATAATGTGTTTTTTGAACAATCAAGCATGAATAATAGGACCCCTTTGAGAATTTACTATGGTAATAAAACCTATAACCTCTCAGTGCTTTTCTACATCACCTATTCCCACAATCCTTGAACAGGTGTCTTCATCTATATTACTAACCATCTTTACATTGCAAATTTCTTCCTTTTTTTGAGGTTGTCTTGGTTTAGCCAAATTTGTTTCAGAGGTTTAAAGGAGGAATGTGCACTCCTCCCTACTACAGGGAAGGGTTTTGGTTTTGGTTGGTTGGTCAGAGGGATGGATTTCAGTTTAGGATTACCAAACGTCCTGGTTTTCCTGTGAAAGACCCATTCACAAAATTATCCGGGAACTTTTTTGGGGCAGAATTCTATTGAAATTACTGCATTTTGCCTGCAAATCTTCACCAGATAATGGTAAATGAACCACACATTTACACTGAGAATAGCTTGTATTTTACAACTTAAATGATCCACAATGTACATTCTGTTCATCCTAACAGATTATTTTTTCATATTTACTGTCGCTCACCTCCTCCATTTCGGTAGCAGAGGTAGGGGAACCTCCAGACATTTCCCAGGCCAACACAGTAGCCAATACAGGAAAGAAGAAATTCATATTTGCCACCCCACTGTTCTCTGGGAGGCAGAGCAGGTGCAGAGGATGGAGCTTGATGCTCAGGTTGGGACTGGGATACGGGGCTGACGGCATCGCGAGAAGACCCGTTCTGCTGTCCTGAACTCTGCCAAGAAGATCATTCAAAGATTATGATCAATGATCAAACACAACCAATATAACAGATCAACACACCTCCTTGTCTTTCAATAATTATGTCAGAAGATATAAAGATGAGTAAGTCCACTCAGAGATCTTTTGAATCAGGCCGTCAGCAGGCTTTAGATATCACACTGGCAACTGCCTAGCCACACCCTAACAACCATCAAGAACACCCTTGCAAAATATCTACCTGACCTTTAAACTTTCTAGCTACTTCAAACTATTCAAATCTTAAACATCAAGATTTTAAAACTACTTCAAACTTTTCACCTTGCTTTCTTAAGCCAACATCAAAGTGTGCCTGGACAAATGCTTTTATCTAGTTTGCATTACTTCTCTTCAAATCAAGCATGAATTGAAGCATGCATTACTTCTCTTCAAATCAAGCATGAATTGAATTTTTTTTTTTTTTTTTTTTTTTTTTTTTTTTTTTAGCTGAAGACTTTGCTCTATAAGCCTGTTCTGTATTTCACTAAAGTCTGGGATGAGGAACTAACGGTCAGTTTGGTTTGTGCAGTATGAACCCTATAGTGAGATAAAAGGGAAGTCATTTGATTGCTAAAAGTACATGGATGACACACTACTGAATAAGGGGGGCTGTAACTGCCATTATTTGCAGGCATTTTTCATCATATAAATATTTATTATTAGGTTGTCTATGGTATGCAGACAGACCAACGTTAAATTTTGTAATCATAGTTTTGTCTTTATCTTTATTCACCTTTCCTTCAGGAATATAGTAGTAGCTTATATCCTCATCCTTCCAATGAACATTTTTATTGGTTTATTATCTACCGAGGGAGTGATAAAGAGAAATTAAGACAAGTCACAATTCACTTTCACTGTATGGAAAGAAGAAAGTGAATAGTGACTGAGGCCGTTATTCTCCTTTTGATAAAAAAAAAAAAAAGCAAAACATTTATGGAACCAAATGAGGGTAGAATTAGCATTTTTGATTACCTATACCTTAACACAAATGTAATAATACTAACTAACCTTTTTTTTTAAACTAACTTTTACAACAACAAAAAAACTAGTTAACCGTGGTGAAACGCATTCATGGACAGGAATGAGAGCAGACGGGTTGTGTTACCTCGACAAACCAGCAAACCAACCAACAGTGTTCAAACGAGTCCAAGTTTCATTCAAAACTCAAATAACATCAAAACCCTAGAGTAAAATAAGAATTTGCGTTTATTAGTATTAGTAAGTACCTCTCTTGTAGGTGCTGCGTTCACATTCACACCGTTTCCAGGTGCTGTTCTCGCCTCCTCCTCACTTGGCATCTCCCCAGCGCTTTTCTTCTGATGCTCGCTATTGTTCACTTAATGGTTTCATCGAGAATCCTGGTTAACTCTAAAACAGAGTGCAATGTTCTAGAGACCTTTCATAGATACCTTAGAATAAAATAGAATAATCTTGACTACAAGGCGCAGCAGGTGGACTGCAATGACCCATGTTGTTGGTGGTTGGTTGGGGGGAGGGAGGAACAGTCGATGAAGGGAGGCGCCGGAGTCTGTTCCGCACACAGAGCTCACCTTCCTGCAGGTAAACTCGTAAATAATGCCCCTCCTATGAACACTGTTGGGTCATTCCCATCCCATCCTCCATTCTTTTTAATATTTATCAGTCCATATATGTAGCTTTCAGTCTGTCTCTGACGTGACTCTAAACTGTAGGTGCAGACAAGTGATAAGCGTATTCGTCTCATTTCAACAGGAAGTCACTTCTGCAGGCAAGTTCGCTACAACAGCAGGAAACCGCAGTGTGTCCTGGCTTGGTAGCCTATGACACAACTCGATTTTTGAGTCAGCAGCAGACACAAAATCTATTATATTTTAAATACACAAATAAAATAATACAATTTAATAAAAATAATTGTATGCAATCAGTATTTACAAATGCTATTTATTTGTTCATTTAAAATGTATTAATCTATTCTAGCTTATTATTTGTGTAGGCCTATTTATTCATAAACGTTAACATAAATATGTATTATTAAATACATTTATTTATGTATTTATTTTAATATACAAACTGGATGTGATTATATCAAAAACTCTTACAAAACAGTGTTAATTAATCAGTTTTCTACAAGTAAAAAAAACATGTCTAAAACTGAACATGATGAAAATATTTTACTTTATTTTATTTGTGATTTCAAATTCAAATAGGAGCTTCATAAACAGTTTTAGAGATTTCAGTCTTTATAATTCAAACATGATCTGTACTTGCATGATGACAATATAGATATGCAGCTATATTTACATCAGGGAATTACGATAGTAAAACCAGAAGTTCTATAATAGGCTATAAGTGTTATCCTAAAATATCAATGGGATAAATGAACAGAAATGGTTGCCAGTCAAACTAATTTAATCTGTAAATAGCTGAACATCATGAATTTTGGGATGTATGTATAGGATGTTTTATACTGTTGTGTTACGTATTCATTGTTGTATTTCTTATATCGGTAGCTGTTTAATTTTGTTGTGTTGTGTTAGGTTTAGAAATTTTGAGGGAATGTCTATAATCTTGAGAAGGCAAATATTTCAGTTTCTCATGTGGACACATTCAGTTGTCACCTGAGTTGGAAATTATGTCACTGTATGGAAAGTGATGTCATGGCAATGCTGATTGGCTGATGGTACCACAAGTACTGTGAAGAAAGATTTTAAAGTCAGCATGAACGGTTGTTCATGGAAGTTGTGATAGTCTTTTCTTCCCTATTATGATGTATATTCTTAGTGAAACGGCTTCTCGCATAAGAAAATAATGTAGGGAGGGACTTTCCATTGGGAATTGATTAGATAGCTGTGGTTTGGTATTGCTGTGATGTCATGTCATGTGAGTGACAGGTTGTCCCGCCCTCACACCAGTTAACACGTAATCAGAGAAGAGAAGAGATGTCGCTGCAAAGAGGAAATATATTTTTATTAAAGGTTACGAATGAATTAAGTCCACATGATTTAAAAAAAAATTTATGTGCACGAATAAATCATTTAAAATAAATACTGCAATGTTACATTAAAACCTGTGCCAGCCAAGCAAATGAGATACATGAGAATGCTAACAGAGCTTTCTCCTGGATTAGACATCTAGCTCATAGCTATCTTATTGGTACATGATCTCTGACATCAAAGGTGGATGTTGGATGATAAGACATGGCTCGTAATCTCCATTCCAGTTCATCCCAAAGGTGTTCAATGGGGTAGAGGTCAAGGCTCTGTGCGGGTCAATTTCTTCCACACCAAACTCATCCAACCATGTCTTTACGGACCTTGCTTTGTGCACTGGGTCTCAGTCATGCTGGAATAGAAAAAGCCTTTCCCAAACTGTTCCCACAAAGTTGGAAGCATAGCATTGTCCAAAATGTTTTGGTATGCTGAAGCAATACGTTTTCCCTTCACTGGAAAAGGGGCCTATAGTCCAACCCCAGAAGAACATCCCTCCTCCACCAAACTTTACAGTTGGCACAATGTAGTCAGGGAGGAAACGTTCTTCAGGCATTCGCCAAACACTGACTCGCCCATCAGATTGCAAAACTGATTCATGACTCCACAGAACATGTTTCCACTGCTCCAGAGTCCAGTGGCGGCACACTTTACGTCACTCCATCTGACGCTTGGCATTGTACTTGGCTTTCATGAAGCTGCTCGGCCATGGGAACCCATTCCATGAAGCGCTGTGTTTCTGCTATATCCAATAATACCACTTACAGTTGACTGTGGAATATATAGCAGGGATGAAATTTCACAAACAATATGCTTATTGCAAAGGTGGCATCCTATCACAGTACCACACTTGAATTCACTGAGCTCTTCAAAACTACCCATTAATTTTAACTAATGTTTTATGCACCTGTGGTAATGGGTCTGATTGAAATGCCTGGATTCAATAACTAAGTGGTGTGTCCCAGTTATTTTATCCATCTGTGTGTTTTGTTTTGTTTTGTACAGAATCCAAAAAAAAAAAAAAATTCAGACATTTCAAGTGACCATTGTACATATTTGTATTGATACTTTTTTATGTAACGATTATAATGTTACATCACTCTTTTCCGTTGTCTAATAAATTTGATGACGACGAAGAAGAAGGAGCGAAAGGCCATTGGCTAAGATTCTTGTTCCGGAAGGTGACGAAAAACGTTCTGGCGGGTTTGTGTTTCGCGCTCAGCACTTGTTCATAACAACTGTCTGCAGGAGCAGCTGTGAGGCCGGCCAGCAGAACAACACTTTATCTACAAATAACAGCTACTATTTGTACTTTTTTTTTTGGTGCTGTGCTCTCTACCAGAGACCTTAATCATGCACGTGATCAAGCGAGGTAACGTAAAGTCCCACTCATCCTCCAAGTAACGTTAGCTTACCTGTTCATTTGCAATATAGTAAAAAAAAAGTGCTATTTAAATGCTAATATAAGTGTAACTACTGTTTCTGAATTGTTCTCATCATAACTACAATGATGGCAGGTCTGCAAAACAAACATTTATTGACCTTAATCGTGTTTCAATGTCTGCACGTAAAGAGAAGAATGTAACGTTAAATCTATTGAGTTCATTTGAAGTCTTAGATAAGGTCGCATAATTATTTGCTGTGTGTTATTAAATTGACTTTTCCAACTACATAACCTAATCTTTGAGAATATGTTTATGTTAGCAGCCGACTAGCTGTTCCCTTTGTTAACTCAAAGTTGGCGCCAACCGCTTTATTAACTAGGTCATTGCGGGTAACGTTAATGCTAAAAATACATATCGTCGAGTTACAGGTTATAAAAGTTTAAAGTTGTAATGCCACACTCACGAGCAGCATATTTTTATCCACATTTCATGTCTTTATTTGAAGTTCATATCATGTCTTTATTTGCAGTTCATATCATGTCCATGTATTCTTTTTTATGGGTGTTATTATATTTGACTTAATATTTTGACTTAATTATTTATCTGATGTTTTTGTTGTCTCAGATGGGCGCCAGGAGCGTGTTATGTTCGACAAAATCACATCACGTATACAGAAACTTTGCTATGGACTCAACTCTGAATTTGTCGATCCTGTAAGTTATGAAAATGCTTCCAAACATCTTAAATTTGTCTCACTTTGCACAGCCAACCATTGCCTAGTCCAGGGGTTTTCAATCTTTTAGATGCCACGGCTCCCAAATATGATTATCCCTGTGCAAGGGACCCCCCCACATCCAATTTGAAAACCCATGGCCTAGTCACATAATACAATTTCCCCCGGTTTCACAGATAAGGCTTAAGCCTAATCCTGGACTAAAATGCATGTTTGAGCTGTCTTAACTGAAAGCAACTTGCACTGACATCTTAAAATATGTCAGTGCCATTGTTTTGTCTCAAAATGCCCACCAGTAATGTTTTTTCTACACCATGTTGTTTATAAAAACTACTTGGATGACCTAATTAAACTGAGACCTAATTCTGGCTTAATCTAAGCCCTGTCTGTGAAACCAGGCCTTTGTCATTCATCAAACAGTACATTCATAACAGGCCACTTCCAACTTCTGTTAGAAGAGCCAACACCCTAGTAATATTTAAACAAACTGTATTGGCCACCCTCAAACATAATGCTTAGAACCTTGCATAACATCTAGGTCTTCCATGTAGCCCTGTATTAAGTCATTTCATTAAAGAAGCATCTTCCAAGAAGCCAAATGTAAAGCTCTGACCCTATGTCGCATGGTTTTGCTTTGCAGACTCAGATCACAATGAAGGTGATTCAGGGCCTTTACAGCGGCGTGACCACGGTAGAGCTGGACACCCTGGCTGCTGAGATCACTGCCACCCTCACCACCAAACACCCTGACTATGCCATCCTAGCAGCCCGCATCGCTGTGTCCAACCTTCACAAAGAAACTAAGAAGGTCTTCAGTGGTGAGTGGCCATGCATCACCCGTTTCATGTCAATGTTACACTTCACAATCTATGAATTAATGCCTTTAATTTGCTTGCTTGCCTCCAATCATAGATGTTATGGAGGACCTCTACAACTATGTGAATCCCCTGAACAGCCGCCACTCGCCTATGGTTTCAAAAGAAACCCTTGATATTGTTTTGGCCAACAAAGATGTAAGTATGATATGCACATTTCTCTTATTTTATCCCCACAGTGTCACAAGTATTTGTAATTAATGTGTTTTTTCCTTATTTCCATAGCGCCTCAACTCAGCCATCATATTTGACCGAGATTTCTCTTACAACTTCTTTGGCTTCAAGGTAATTCTGAAACAAGAGAAAATGTAAAAAAAAAAAAAATACACTAATGTTTGCCTGAAAGTCATTTTGTGGTGTTAATCTCATTCTTTAACATTTCGTTTAGACATTGGAGCGCTCGTATCTGCTGAAGATCAATGGAAAGGGTAAGTTAGTTAAATGAAATCCACTGTATGCAAATAAAATAGTCAAATTATGACAGGGAAATGAAGAGTAGGGCTGTGACGGTGGCAGTTTTTTTTACCACCGAGGTGGTAATGGACCAACTACTGGCAGTGTTTGGGGGGGTGGAAAATATATATATATATAATATATATACTTCCGTCAGTGGAATATATGGGCTCGCGTACCTCTCTCATTCTGCATTAATCCAAATATTTCTGTTGCTGCGATGTTACATTTAATTGCTAACCTATTATATCTTTGGTAAACAAAGCATTGTGCTTCACTTGTGTCATAATGGTCACGTAAAACAGCATTCACAAACTGAAAAAGTGTTTTGGCTTATCAACGCTGGTGCTACTTGGCCACCATTTTGCGTTTGTCAAATTTACCAGCACAGCCCTAATGGAGAGAAGAGGAAAAAATAGAAAACCATAAAGAAAAGACCAAAATAAGAAGTGGTAGATTGCATTTTTAATGAAGGAAATCCAAGTGAGGTGAAGAAGAACAAAGAGACTGACCTGAATGGTAAACGTTCCTGTGACACTGTGACCGCTTCTGTTTTCAGTCGCTGAGCGCCCACAGCACATGCTGATGAGAGTGTCCGTGGGCATCCACAAGGAGGACATTGCAGCAGCTATTGAAACCTACAACCTGCTGTCTGAGAAGTGGTTCACTCATGCTTCTCCTACACTCTTTAACGCTGGCACCAACCGGCCACAGCTCTCCAGGTGAGCACCAGGAAATCAGTCACTATACAGCAATCAGACACAAGGGGGCAGTTTTTCAAAACAAATGTTTTCCTATTTACTGTTTGCAAAGTCCGTAGACTACTGTATGCGTAACACAAGCAACTTCCTTTTGTCAAATGTCTAGTTGCTTCCTGCTTGCTATGAAAGATGACAGTATTGATGGGATCTATGACACATTGAAGCAGTGTGCCCTCATCTCTAAGTCTGCCGGAGGTATCGGGGTGGCAGTGAGCTGCATTAGAGCCACTGGCAGCTACATCGCAGGGGTGAGTTTTCTTCATCCTCTGCTTTAGATTCATTCCAATGGTACTTTAAAATTCAGCAGTTGGGTTTACTTAATATCTTTTGTCATTTAGACAAATGGCAACTCAAATGGCCTGGTTCCTATGCTTCGTGTCTACAACAACACAGCACGCTATGTGGACCAAGGAGGAAATAAGGTAAGACATTTTACATGTGATATTTAAGGGGGGTTAAGTTTGGCTTGAATTACTGACATTTTCTGTCCTCCTCACTTCAGAGACCAGGAGCTTTTGCCATGTACCTGGAGCCCTGGCATTTTGACATTTTTGACTTCCTAGAGCTCAAAAAGAATACTGGAAAAGAGGAACAGAGAGCTAGAGATCTGTTTTATGCCCTCTGGATCCCTGATCTGTTCATGAAGAGAGTGGAGACCAATGGGGTGAGCCCACTTTAAACTTAACAATTATTTGATATTTTTAAAATATCAGATTTCTTCATGTATCTTTTATTCAGCCAAGATGGAAGATCAAAAGATAAAACATTTTTTAAACTTTCTATTTATCAAAGAATCCTGGGGGGGGCACTGTTATTAAGCAGCACTGTTTTCAACATTGATAAGAAGTTTCTTGACTTATGCAGCAAATCAGCATATTAGAATGATTTTTGAAGGATCATGTGACACTAATGATGCTAAAAAATGAGCTTTACCATCACAGGAATAAATTAGTTGAAAATCTATAAAAAATAGAAAAAAGTTTTGTAATGCTGTAGTACTTCACAATATTACTGTTTTACTGTATTTTTAATTAATAAATGCAGCCTTTGTGAACACGAGACTTCTTTCTAAAACATTACAAAATCATACAGATCCCAAACTTTTGAATGGTTTGTTTATATATTGGTTTTTATATACATAAAGTTTAACACATCCAATTTAGTTCAAATGCTTCATTTTAAGAACAAAAACTCATGTGGCTCCTCCTATCCCATGTAGGACTGGTCTCTGATGTGCCCCAGTGACTGTCCCGGGCTGGATGAGTGCTGGGGAGAGGAATTTGAGAAGCTCTACACAAGGTGTGAAAATATTAATTCTACTACTGTGAAACTATGAAACTCATTGTTTATTAATCATTCAGTGATCTTTTGTTTTAGTTATGAGCAGGAGGGCAAAGCTAAGCGTGTGGTGAAAGCTCAGCAGGTCTGGCATGCCATCATTGAGTCTCAGACAGAGACCGGCACACCCTACATGCTTTACAAGGATGCCTGCAACCGCAAGAGCAACCAGCAGAACCTGGGCACCATCAAATCCAGTAACCTGTGCACAGAGATAGTAGAATACACCAGTAAGGATGAGGTAGGGAGGGTGCAGAATACCTACACAAAGTATAATGGTAACACTTTACAATAAGGTACATTAGTTAACTATCTCAGTTAACATGAACTAAGAATGAACAATACTTCAACAGCATTTATTAATCTTAGTTGTTATTTATTTCAACATTTACTTGGGTTAAGGTTGTATTTGTTAACATTAATGCAATGTGACTTAACATGAACAAACAATGAACAGTTGTATGTTTATTAACTGACATTAAAAAATATGAATTAATACAGTAACAAATGTATTACTCATTGTTAGTTAATACATTAACTAATGTTAACTAATGAACCTTATTGTAAAGTGTTACCAGTATAATATCGCTTACTGTCTGTCACATGACAAGTTGACTCTATTGGAAAGTGCATTCATGAAGAACCACACTCCCTTGTAGGTGGCTGTTTGCAACCTGGCATCCATTGCACTTAACATGTACGTCACCTCAGAGCGAACGTTTGACTTCCAGAAGTTGGCCTCTGTTACAAAGGTCATTGTGAGGAACCTGAACAAAATCATCGATATCAACTACTACCCAGTGATAGAGGTGAAGTGCTGTTTATTCCGTTATAACCATCCTGCACTATTGTAATCGCTACTGAGGTTGAACATCTCTCTCAATTGACAGGCAGAGAACTCCAACAAGCGTCACAGGCCCATCGGTATTGGTGTTCAGGGTCTGGCCGACGCCTTCATTCTCATGCGCTTCCCCTTCGAGAGCGCAGAGGCTCAACTTCTCAACACACAGATCTTTGAGACCATCTACTACGCTGCCTTGGAGTCCAGCTATGAGCTGGCTGCAGAATTGGGACCGTATGAAACCTACCCTGGGTGTCCTGTGAGCAAGGGTGTAAGTTAGATGTTTATAGTTTAAGGAAATCTGATATTAGTTGAGATTTACAGAGCTCTTATTGTTCCTGGTGTGATTTCACAGATTCTGCAGTATGATATGTGGGAAAAGACACCTACAGACCTGTGGGACTGGGCGGCACTCAAGGAGAAGATCGCAAAGTTAGTAACTGCTCATTCATAAATGTGTTATTTAAAACTTTACATTTTACCATGTAATTCCTATCTATGTTGTAAAGGTTTTACTGATGGATGTTCATATATCATTTGCCTGATTTTATGTTTAGTTCCTAATATTTTCTTTTTTGTTTGTCTTTTGGCTGTTGACAGTATTTTCTAATTTATGGAGTGATCGAAAAGATATATCGAAAATCCCTTCTTTAAAAACCTTTAACTCTAATGTCAACTAAATGAAACCATTTTGAACCAAGCTTTATCCAATGTTCAGATTTTTTTTCTGGAAATTAATGCAAATGAGTGCATGTTTGATTAGATAATGCCACTATACTGTGGAGATCGCGAGTCAGCATTGTCCACTTCATCATTGCAGCTGACACAGAAAACGCTCATTTATAATTAATAAATACTTAAAATGTCTCCTTGCAGTTTTTTCCTGACATATTCATAATAATCATTACTTTTGCTGGTGCTTTGTGGGCAAGATTTATGCGGAATAGGGTATATTACACCTATATATTAAACGCTCATTGTTTTAGTATTCTCAGTATTTAAGTAATTAAATTAACAAATGTGCGATTAGTCGACTAATGGCTTACATGAATGACTAGTCGACTAGAAAAATCTTTAGTCAAGGGCAGCACTAATATATATATATATGCACACATTTATTATTCTTTTTCTCCTCAGGCATGGTGTGCGTAACAGTCTGCTGCTGGCTCCCATGCCCACTGCTTCCACAGCTCAGATCCTGGGCAACAATGAGTCAATCGAGCCCTACACTAGCAACATCTACACACGCAGAGTTCTGTCTGGAGAGTTTCAGGTGGGCTTGATGTTACAGTGAACGTTTGCAAGATAAACTGACGTCTTTGTACATCATTAACTAGTGGGTTTCGTTTACCTCTAGATCGTGAACCCACATCTTCTCAAAGACCTCACAGAAAGAGGTCTTTGGAACGAGGAAATGAAAAACCAGCTAATTTCTCAGAACGGATCCATCCAGGTTAGTTGGCATTTACAATTTAGATGACTTTTTTTGTTTTTGCTTTGTCACTTTCTAAACGTCCTTCTTTTTGCAGAGCATTCCCACAATACCAGATGACCTGAAGGAGCTGTATAAGACGGTGTGGGAGATCTCTCAAAAGACCATCTTAAAGATGGCTGCAGATCGAGGAGCCTTCATTGACCAGAGCCAGTCCCTCAACATTCACATTGCTGAACCCAACTATGGCAAACTGACCAGCATGCACTTCTACGGCTGGAAGCAGGTAAACTAGATACTTCATGAGCCTGGGAAGTTTAGGAATTAGTTGATAGATAAATAGTACGTCTACTTCTCTCCACAGGGACTTAAAACAGGAATGTACTACCTGAGAACTAAACCAGCTGCCAACCCCATCCAGTTCACTCTGAACAAAGAGAAACTGAAGGAGACGCAGAAAAGTGAGGAGGAAGCCAGAGAACGCAACATAGCCGCCATGGTGTGCTCGCTGGAGAACCGAGACGAGTGTCTGATGTGCGGTTCATAAACTGAACTGTGTGTACAGTAATAAACCTTTTATAATGGGCATAGAGAATAATTAATATGAATAATATTATTATACTTTTCCATCTGTGTACAATAAAGAATTTTGGTAAGATCAAACTTTGTTCAGATTTATGAAAAGATGTTTTGGAGTAATTTTGAATATGATCCTTCTGGCAGAGTTTCCTAAAACTCGTGGTTGAGGGACAATAAATTGTCAACACGCACAATGTAATTTATAGTGTAATGTTTTTGGAAGGGAATGTTTGTTTTGTTTAGCTTTGATAAAATAAAATGCTGAAAAAGTCATTTGATCTTCTTTTACATACATTTGAACACTAGTTGACGATTTTGTTGGCTGATGTAATTCCACCAGCATTACCATTAGTGAAGTAACTGGTCATATATTCGTATGGTTATGGGAACAGGTGTGACGTTCCAGTAGAGGTGCATGGGGAGGGTCTGAGGCTGCAGGTGATTGGGTTATGAATAGTCGTGGAGGCCTCATGGGATGAAGCAGCTGTGTCACAAACAGAAGGTGTTGAACAAGCTGCAACATGTGCATGAGGTCTCTGGGGTTATAAATGTGTTCTCGTGTACCTCTAACCATGGCTGCGTGTACGTATTCAGGGTTCTGAGATTAATTTACATGAATTTATACTTCAAGGGACATGAACACTGCACATTTATTGTTTATTTTAATGACAAAACATGACTTCTATAATAATTGAATTTTACAAATCATTTTAGAATTTCAAATACCAAGAAACCAGAATGCCTCTCAGAGTACATTTTATTTATATATATGTATATATATATATACAGTGGCCCAAAAAAGTATTAGTCACTTAAAAAACCCTACTGTTTAAAAGTTTTGAGGTCATTGTAAGTTAAAGGTTTTGAAAGAAGCCTCATGCTCACCAAGATTGCATTTATTTTAAACAATACATTAAAAACAGTAATACTACCAGATTTTCCATTTTTATTTTAAAATGTGATTTATTACTGTGCTGGCAATTACTCCAGTCTTCAGTGTCACATGATCCTTCTGTAATCAGTCGTGCTGCTTAATATTTTTGTGGAAACTTTGATACTTTTTATACAGAAAGTTGAAAGAATAGCATTTCTTTGTAATATATTTATGTAAAATTAGGTTTGTGTGATGTTGCAATTGTTTTTACGGTCACTTTTGATCAATTTAATGCATCATTGCTGACTAAATGTGTACATTTCTTTAAAAAATCTTACAGACCCCAAACTTTTGAACAGTACTGCAGAACAAGGGAAACTAACTTTAAAATGATAAAAAACAATTGTTATTTTGTTCTAAATTAACAGTACTTCCTGGCTGTAAAATGAATATGTTCATAGATAATGTGATGAACTACACCTGTGTGAACAGACTTCGTCCACCAAAAGTTACTTTTGAGAAAATATAAACGCACTAGCATAATTTGTTTTCAGCTGCGACTTTTGATATTTTGTTTTCAAATGTAACCCTAACATTAAGACATTTTCAGTGACAAATGTGTCCAAATACTTTCTGATGCCACTAACATAAAGCATTTTATCATCTTAAAAAAAACTAAAACAATGCTTTCAACTAGGTTTATGGTTTTCACAAGCTAGTTGTTTTGAACTAATCTTAGAAAACCGATTGCCGTCATTAAGGGCTACTAGTTGAGGAGGACTCAAATACTTGAGAACCAAAACCAGTGTCTTGGGAGCCATCGCTACCAGTTGGAGATGATGCTTGGTCTCCACTGAAAGTGAAATTCGTCACTAGTGGGGTTTTCTTCTCTAGCTTTTCCTCAATCCTCTTTGCTAAAAGACTCACTAGGCTTGTCTGGCTCAGGTCAAACTTAATGCCCTCACTTGTACTTCCCTCATTGACGACTTCAACTACATCCTCATTAATATCTTCTGTCGTTCCATTGTTTTCCTCAACCTCTCCATTTTCCTCTGTCTCGGCTTCATTTAGATCTGATCCTCCTGTTGCCTCATCTGTATTCATTTCCTCTATATTATCTTTGGTTTTCTCTGTCACCGTCTCATCTTCTCTTTTTCCACTGGCTTCACTCTCAGCGTCTGAATGGGACTCTATATCTATGACTGTCTCACTTGTATTCTCTGTATCTGTGTTCTTCTCAGCACCCTCCTCCTCCATGCTAATCTCGATGGCATCATCAATTTCTGTCTCATTTCCTCCCTCCTCTGTCCCGTTCATGTCATCCATTTCTCCCTCACTGCTTTGCTCTTCATTTGACTTCCCGTCTGCCTCTGTGTCAGTGGTCGGTGACTCCTGCACGTCTACAGTCTCTTCATGCTTCTCTTTTACAGTCTCCGCTGGTTCTTCATGATGTACAACCTCATGCAGTGGAGCAGTCTTTCTCTCGCTGATGTCGAAGTCCTTGAAGTTGTTTTTGGCTCCGATGATGTACTTCCCCAGGAAAGAAGAGCCTCCTGATGGGTCTGGTTTGGTGTTGTCTGAGTAGTCAGACATGTCCTTGTGAATCTGTTTCATTTCTGAGTGTAGCTTGCTGATCACTTTATTCAGCTCTGTGATCCTGTTCCCAACATCTACAAGAAAGACATTCCAGATCATTTCAGCATTTTCACTGGATGTGAAAACTATAGTATGAATATAGTTATATATTGGGGGGGTTTGAAGATATTTTTTAACCCTCTAAACAATTTGTTTTTCTTTGAAGAACTAAGAACTAGGATTCCCAGAAATGAACTAAACCAAAAAAAAATTAATATATGAGGAAGCCTGGTGTTAAAAGTGTGATTTGTAGCCCCTGGAAAGTCACGAGGCCTTTCTTTCTTTCTTTCTTTCTTTCTTTCTTTCTTTCTTTCTTTCTTTCTTTCTTTCTTTCTTTCTATCTATATATAAAGACCCCATTAAAAACTTTCAGAGAGCAGTTTTATTTCCTGTGTTAATGTGTTTCCTGTTTTGGGGTCATGTCGGAATTACCGTGATTATTAGATTCCAACTTGTAAATACCGTTCACATCCTTGTACAGCTCATAATTACTTCTTGTAAACTGAATCTTTTGGGAGCTGACGGCGGCAATATAATGCGTAAATACTCAAAATAGTGTCCGTTTCAGCTGTAAAATGTAGTTTATTAATTATCTCCTAATATTTCTGTTTAATAACTATTATTGACTATTGTTAATGTGTTAGTAATGCAAAATGAATATATAAATAAACGAAAGACATACAATGCAGTTTAATGTAGTTAGCACAGAGTATAATAACTAGTGCCTAAAGTCCTGCTAAATACACTAAATAAATGAAATACATTTTATCAACAACTGTTAAAAACTGTTTGTCTTATTGTGGTTTTGTCTATTGATTACTCAAATTACACCGATTAATTTTGCTGTTGATAATGTTTACAGAGTCCTGCACAGGACATGCGGGAATTTCTTTTTATTTTATTTTTTCGTTCCCACGACTTACTACTCACGTTTTACAAATTCGTTCCCTCGTTTTAAGTAAATCGTGAGAATGGTATAATAATTAATTACCTCGTTTTACTAAATCGTGGCCATGTTGTAATAATTTGTTCCTTTGTTTTATTTAATACAAAATGAGGGAGGGAATGAATTCTTAATTTGTGGCCACGATATATATTTTTGTTTGCACGTCATGTACAGGGCTCCGTGTTACCATAGAAACACATAATTCTGGTTTACACGACATCTATGTACTAAAAACAGAAAAGTTGAACGTTTTCCTGTGCATTTCCTGTGCATTACAGTACTATTGTGCATTACAGTACTATTGTGCATTACAGTACTATTGTCAAAACGATCCCGTTCACATGGATCCGCGAAAACATCTAAAAATGCTGTATTATTCATGCGAGGCCAGTAGAGGGCAATGTCAATTTGTAAAGAAACACTTCACGCCTATAAGCTGAAGACGTAACGTACATGACATCACAATTTTATCAAATTCATGTTTTTGTAGTTTACACAGAGACGATAACAGTATCGTTTTCAAAAACCTGCACTTTGAAACCCATTTTCGAAAGTTTGCATTTTCAGACCTCCAAAATGCTGTTGTCGTGTAAATGAACGACCGAAACGCATAACATATTTTCCGTTTTTAAGTTAAAAATCATCTCGGGTAAACGGCCCCTGAGTCAGTTGTAGTTGGTACTGGGGGAGGGGCATGCTTATTCTAGAGAGCAATTGATTGGATAAAAAAAACTGCATGGCCCTGTGGTCAAGATGAATTATCAATATTATATGGAGAAGTTGGTACATTAAAAATGTGTGCTAAAAGTAAACTTTTAAAAGTACACTAGCATAGAGATGACCTCACGACTAACAGACTAAACTAATCCGATCCAATGGATGGGGTCTATAACAAAACATGATGAACAGATTCAAAAACACCTTATCAGTCTTACCTTTGCGTTTGGTTTCTTCAAACTCTCTCCTGGCAGATTCGATATAGCGCTGAACCAGAGCACGAATGACCTGCTGTCTGTAGGGAATCCGGTTCTCCCCTGAGCCCGCGTCATCCTTCAGTGTTGCATTTCAAACAAAGCAAATGGAAGAATGGGTTTTATCCAACATGCTGCACAGTAATGTATTTTATAATCTTGAAAAAAAGTGTACCATAGACGTGAGTGGAGGGTAGTCTTGAGCAGAGTTACAGTTGAAGCAGCAGCAGCAGATCCGTCTGAAAATCCCTCTTAAATATAAAGGGAAAAAACTCTAGGATTAAAATTAATATTTTCCCTTTTACTTTTTTTTAATAAACACTTAAAAAGTGCCACTTGAAAATAAAATAATGGAATAAATGATCAGTTTATTAATTTATCATTTAAAAAATGCACATAAATCTATCACTTGACTAATAAATAGTGGCATTTAAAAAGCCAAGTATTTAATGAATGGTTTAAAAGTTAAATGTAACAATGTTTTCAAATTTGACATACTCTAAATAGCTGTTTAAATAATGTATTTTAAATTGAGTTATATATAATAATAAATAATACATTAATAAACCCCTTTTCAAATG